GTAAGAGTTCCACTTACTCCATGTTCTCTTCAACATTTGTTATGGTCAGTCTTTTTATTTTAATGATAGTGTTATCTCATTGACTAATAATCTTAAGCATCTTTTTATGTGCTTATTTGCTATTTCTTTGTCTTCTTTGGTGAAGTTCAAATCTATTGCCCATTAAAAAAAATCTCCGATAGATGCCTTGGAAATATTTTCTCTCCATTTCTGGCTTGTCTTTTCATTCCCTTAATAGTGTCTTTGGAAAAGTTGAAGCTTTTAATTTTGAAGAAATCCAGTTAATCAATTTTTTCTTTTATGGATTATGCTTTTGGTGTCATGTGTAACAAATGTTTGCCTAACTCAAAGTCACAAAGATCTTCTGTGTTTTCATATAGCAGTTCTATAGTTTAGGTCTTTGATCCATTTTGAGCTAATTTATGTTAATTTCAAATGTTTAGTGGAATGCTGGTTCCTCATGCTTAGTGTGGATCTTGTAGTGCCAAGAAGTTCTCTGTTCCTATTCCACTGGCCTCTTCTAGCAGGCTTGGCATACTAGCAACCAGAGGGAGTTTCTTTCTTTCTCGCTCCTTGTTTGATGCTGGTGGTGTATTGCGTTGTGTGTAATTTGGTTTGAAGCATGATATTGAGAAGGAGGTTTTAAAAAATTAAAACTACATAAGAAAAAAATTTATAATGTTAAAGTTTTAGGTTAGAAATATCTGTATGATCTCCTGGTCTTGAAAATATTATTAAAAGATTGTTAAAAGATTGTTACTTGGTCAAAGAGAAATTGTCAAATGTGACAATTCTTACCAATTTAAAGTGAGAAGCAAAGAAATAGATTTTGAAAATATCATTGATGAATTTGCTTTCTTCAGAGCCAGGAAAGTAATATAATACATTCTTTGTTATAAATAAAATATTTAAACTAATGCTATGAGTTTTAATACACCCAATTTTACATTTTTCAGCTACTTTAATGCTCTGTAAAAGAAAAAAAATACATAGAAACACGCATACAGAAGTATACCCTTTTTCTTTTCCCTCAGGTTCCCTAAAAATTTAATATTGTTCATTATGGATTCTTTTCATTTTTAAAATGCAGTTTTTAAAAACCATTGCATGAAAGTACTTATCTTGATTAATGAGTTTTTTGGTATCCCTTAAATTTTGTTCAGGGTCTACACTCTTCTCTCACTAGTCCCAACCCTGACATTTTTACTGCCTCTTCAAAAGTAGTAAGACTTACATTTAAAGGATATTTATGGTTAAAATGTAGTAAAAGCCAATAGAAATTAGAAATTCATAGAATCAGCCCAAGTAATTAGATCTTTTTTTTTTTTTTTTTTTTTTTTTTTGAGACGGAGTCTCGCTCTGTAGCCCAGGCTGGAGTGCAGTGGCCGGATCTCAGCTCACTGCAAGCTCCGCCTCCCGGGTTCACGCCATTCTCCGGCCTCAGCCTCCCGAGTAGCTGGGACTACAGGCGCTGCCACCTCGCCCGGCTATTTTTTGTATTTCTTAGTAGAGACGGGGTTTCACCGTGTTAGCCAGGATGGTCTCGATCTCCTGACCTCGTGATCCGCCCATCTCGGCCTCCCAAAGTGCTGGGATTACAGGCTTGAGCCACCGCGCCCAGCCAGTAATTAGATCTTATTTACTTATTTATTCTTTCAGTTATTCCCATGGTCAATAAAGTGGCAACCAGTAGGGTTGATGAGGCATAGAAGAGGTGGGGTGGGTATAATTATAGCTTGGATAAGAAGTTTAAAAATCCACACAGGCGGCCGGGCGCGGTGGCTCAAGCCTGTATTCCCAGCACTTTGGGAGGCCGAGACGGGCGGATCACGAGGTCAGGAGATCGAGACCATCCTGACTAACACGGTGAAACCCCGTCTCTACTACAAAAATACAAAAAACTAGCCGGGCGAGGTGGTGGGTGCCTATAGTCCCAGCTACTCGGGAGGCTAAGGCAGGAGAATGGTGTAAACCCAGGAGGCGGAGCTTGCAGTGAGCTGAGATCCAGCCACTGCACTCCAGCCGGGGTGACAGAGCGAGACTCCATCTCAAAAAAAAAAAAAAAAAAAAATCCACACAGGCATGACATATATAGAGGAACTTAAAAATTAAAACAAAATGAGAAATGACTTGATAATGTTAAAGAAGAAGTATCTTTGTGAACTTAAGGCCTTAAAAAATACCTACAGAGGGCTGGGTGCAGTGGCTCACACCTGTAATCCCAGGACTTTTGGAGGCCGAGGTGGTCAGATCACCATATGGTGAAACCCTGTCTCTGCTAAAATGCAAAAGATTAGCCAGGCATGGTGGCGCATGCCTGTAGTCTCAGCTACTCAGGAGGCTGAGGAATGAGAATCACTTGAGCCCCAGAGGTGGAGGTTGCAGTGAGCTGAGATCGCACCACTGCACTCCAGCTTTGGCTACAGAGTGAGACTGTATCTCAAAACAAAACAAAACAGAAAAACCCTACAGAGGCCAAGCAAGGTTCTCAGGTACTTATCACCAGTCCTCAAGCTCTGTGCCCCCACTGCACAAGTTTTTCTTGCTGATACATATATTTTTTTAATTAGAAGAGTTCCTTAGAGAATAGCTGATACCCTGTCTTGCATGAAAAATGTACTTACCACATACCAGGCACTGTTCTGTGCATTCGTATATATTAACTCGTTTAAATCTCACTGTCAGTTGTCTGATAGATACTGTTACCCCATTTTACAGATGAGAAAACTCAGGCATAGTGAGATGAAGTTACTAACTTAGGTTACACAGTTAATAAATGCAGAACTTACATTTGAACCCAAGCAGTCTAGCTTCTGAATCTGGCTTATAATTCCTAAGCTGTACTGCTTCACATGTACAAAAGAGTTTTTGAATACAACAGAATAGACTAGATCAAATACGTATGTATTAGTTTTCTGTTGCTGCTATAACAAATTACCAGATTAATTTTAAAAAGTTTGGGACCATTGACCAATATGGGTCATATGTTCTAGGTGTCTGCATGTAATATCCTTTCTATATGTATTTTTCTTCTCTTTGTGTAGGGAACAGTGGATATAGGCATCTGTAGGTAGTCCAAATACTTAAAAAACACCAACAGCTGGGCGCGGAGGCTCACACCTTTAATCCCAGCACTTTGGGAGGCCAAGGCAGGTGGAATGCCTGAGCTCAGGAGTTCGAGACCAGCCTGGCTAACATGGTGAAACCCTGTCTCTACTAAAATACAAAAAATTAGCCAGGCGTGGTGGTATGCACCTGTAATCCCAGCTACTTGGGAGGCTGAGGCAGGAGAATTGCTAGAACCTGGGAGGTAGAGGTTGCAGTGAGCAGAGATCATGCCACTGCACTCCAGCCTGAGCGACAGAGTGAGACTCTGTCTCAAAAAAAAAAAAAAAAGAAAAGAAAGAAAAAAGAAAAAGCACCACCACCACCACTACCAAAAACAAGCTGGACCCATCATAAGAAGGGGAAGGACTAACAAGCACCAATAGTCACACACAATGGCCAGGAGAAAGTATTTCCAAGAATATGTTGTAAGATGATGGATTAGCCAGATGGCTGGAAAGAGAACTGTCTGTGCAGACTTTATCATTAGGTCTCCTGGGAGGTCTAGTATCTGTTGGCTCTGCCAGCCACCATGAGGTCCTCAAAAGCTGTAATGAAGCAGATGTTAAACTGAGGTAGAACAAACTGTCCAAGAAGGATGAACATGGGGATAAAGAACAAGGCCCAGGTTGAGGAAAGGTGTGGGCTAGATGGACACTTGAACCTTAGCTGTGACAGAAGGAGCCAGCCTAGTAAATGCTGGCTCTAGACCAAAAACTACTGGATACGGTTTGGTGAAGGCAGAAGTTGGGGAAGGGGAGACACTTTAGCTTCCTTCACTCATGGACAAACTATTAGTTATTTAAGTGCTAGAACCTAGTCTGAGTCATGATGATGAATTTCCTTTGAGCCCTAGTGTTAGGTGTTACGAACAGTGGAACTGTTGTAAAAGGTTCCTTCAGATTGTCAGTGATTTTGTTGTGCCTAATGCATTTCTACAGAGAGTATTCATTTAATTATTATATATGTATTTATCAATGTAGCTGTGGCTTGTATCAGTTGTCAAAACACTGGCTCCCTTGTTAGAGGAGCTCTTTGAAATTCATTGATGGACTAAATATACTTGATATCTAATTTGTTAAAGAGCTATCACAATTTTTTCATCAGAGGATCTAAGTAATTTTTTTCTTAAAAGATCTGTAATTTGACTGAGAGGAAAGTTATCTTGCCTCAGATTTTCAGTATATTTCTATTTTAAAAGGTCATCTCCTTTTTTGAGGTTAAGATCCCGTTTTAGAGGCTACATAAGATATTTAGATGGGGTTGTATTTCTCCATACTGAGGTCATGAACACACTTATAGAAGACTTAGTAATAGTGTTGCATCCTCCTAAGGGAAGCTTTTCTCATTCTAGTGGACTGCAGCACCAAAGTTTTTGTAGTTGACTGGAGTTCCGAGTCAGCCTTGATTCTGCCTCCTTGACAGTGACCAAAGTGCTCTACTAGAGGATTTACTGATGGACCCAACCCCATAAATGTGGTTGTCATTGCCAGGAGAGAAACATGCCATTCTGAGTATTTGTAAAATGTTCTTGTAAAACTGTTTTGTGAGCAGTTGTTTTACATTATTTTTACCTTTAGAGATTTAAAAAGAAAAAAAGCATCCATTTTATGCATAACAGGAGATATGCACATAATCCACTGTGGGCATTTGGCTTACCTTAATATTAATCATTTTGACTGTTTTAAAATAATTCTGAAGAGATACATACTTAAAGTACTTTTATCTTGAAAATGTCTTTCCCTCTGTGACATTGCTTTGCTTCTGAAGGTCAGCCTTCTTCCTTTAATTTTTAAAAATTATATTTTTGTCATAAGTACATATTTTCTTCTTAAAATAGATCTTTGATATGCATTTTTATACTCTATTTATAATTCATTATTTTAAACTTTCAGGCTCAACTTTAAAGAAGCTTCTACACACTGGAAATTCTACTAAGGTATTTATTTTATCGTGTAATGGCATTTTTTATTATTCTTAAATTTGTTAATGCCACAAAGTAACAATGTTAGGCTATTTTGGAAAAAAGATCTTTAAAAACCACTTGATTTAGTTTTAATTTTTAATTGATAAATTATATTTTTAGGGTTTTGTTCTTACATCATACCTTATTGCGAGAGACATTTTAAATGGTATTAGAAGAAAATGGGTTGGGCTTCAGAGTTTAGAGTTCTGAGTTCTGATTCTGATTCTGCTGGGTATGGATAGGGACCATGGGCAAGGCACTGACTGCTTCAGTTTATCATCAGAAAAAGGAAGAGCAGTCCCCCTCTAAACTTCAGAGCTCACATGCTTGATTCTGTCCATCTTGGTAACCTGGTTGTTAAAATTATGGTTGTCTCTAATTAATTTTACTAATTTTGAGAGCCATTGTGGGAGAAAAGAACAACAGGGTCTCACTCTTGAGTATTTATTTGTGGCAGATTTATAGGTTAAAATTGGTTTATTTTGAAATGGATATGTCTTTTATTATGACATATACTTCTTGATGCTGAGATTTTGCTAAAACATAAGTGGCAGAAAAAATTCAGCCTGGGATGAATATTTTATGAAAGATAATTCACTTGGAGTTAATTACGTTGTGTGAATGCTTTTAATAAGCTAATATATTGGTAGTTTTATACTGGCTTAAACAATCACAGCCTCTTAAAACTTGATATGTTAACTGTTTCTCACATGTTGAAAAAAAAAGGAGTTATTCCTGGCCTCACTGTAGATTCTATATTTTGTCCCTCTTATTTTAGAGAAATAAGGTTATGATTAAAACCTATCAGTTTGTTAATCTCGTGTTTATAATTACCCTTATTTATGTTTAGTTCTCTTAAATACAGTTAACATATAAAAATCAGAGACTTGTGATAGAATTTCATAGAAACTTCCCTCTTGTTCAGTTAAATATAATTTAATTAGATACACATAGAGCTGGCTGGGCGCAGTGGCTCACACCTGTAACCCCAGCACTTTGGGAGGCCAAGGCAGGCAGATTGCCTGAGGTCAGGAGTTTGAGACCAGCCTGGCCAACGTGGTGAAACCCTGTCTCTACTAAAAATACAAAAATTAGCCGGGCATGTTGGTGCATGCCTGTAGTCTCAGCTACTCAGGAGGCTGAGGCAGGAGAATTGCTTTCCCCCAGGAGGCGGAGGTTGCAGTGATCCGAGATCATGCCACTGCACTCCAGTTTGGGCAACAGAGTGAAACTCCATCCCCCGTCAAAAAAAAAAAAAAAAAAAGATATACATAGAGCCTTCTCTCTTCTCTCTTCTCTCCTCTCTCCTCTCTCCTCTCTTCTCTCTTCTCAGTCTGATGGCTGAATAGTAATGTTACCACTCATTTTACCTGCTTGGCGAGAGGAGGGCAGGTGTGAGCAGGCATGGAGGTTTGAGTGGAGCAGTGGTGGAGTCCAGGAGCATGTTTGGAAGTACGCTGTGAATTTACTCTGTTAATGGGGCAACACTGTCACCAGCTGGGGTGTCTGTCCTAGTGTATTTTGACTTCTATTGGGAGTCAGCAGAATATTTTTATTTATTTATTTTGGCTCTTCTCCACTTTTTGGTTTGGTTTTATGGCAAAGCCTTGTGTCTGACTTGCAATGTTCTTGCTCTGGCAGAGTCAGCACCACCTTGAATTAATTGAAAGGAGATGAGGCAGTCACCCCAGTTGCTGGCATTTGGAGCTCACTACATCTTTCAGCTGCATGTGACATTTTTTCAGTCTCTTTTGCTTATTTTTTTTTTAATTGACATAATCTTTTCAGTCATTTAGGAATACAGAAATGGAGGGACATGTGCTTTTGAATTCTAGGAATGGGATAAATTTGGAAGTGTAAAGAAAGAAAAAGGACACATCTCCCTATGTTGATGTTTCCTACAGCATGATGCTGGCAATTCAGAGCATGGCAAAGGTGTTGGAGAAATAGAATAGGGACATAAGGTATGAGGAGAGCTGCTGTGTCTCATTAAGCCAGGCCTTCAAGGTCTTATTTAGCTCCTAGTCTTTTGATTCTCAAGAACATTATCAACATGTTATATTATAGTGATAGCACATATAAATTTGGAGGGAGATTATCTTTGTCATTGTTTTTATGGATAATTGAGGCCATGGGTACTGTTGCCTTACAGAATAAGATACTATTAACAGGAAGCACTTACATAGTGCTTACTGGGAGTCAGCCATTGTGTTATTCGGTTTACATATGTTAACTCAGTCTTTATCATAGTCTTTTGTGGTAAATGCTCTTATCCTTATTTCACAGATGGGGAGACTGAGGCATGGAGAAGTTAAGTGGTTCTCCGTGGGTCCCAGCTAGAAAGTGGCAGAGCTTGCATTTGAACCCAGGCACTTTGGCTCTAGAACCCTGGCTCTTAACTCGTGCTGTATTGCAGCGTCTTTGCTTATCTGTCACTAAGTAAAGAACTTGGTGTACTACCTAACACACCTTTAACTTGTAGTTTCTCTTTCTCAGACTGATGCTCCATTGTAATGCATTTCTGTAAAGACATGTAAGTGTTTCATTTTCATTGTTTTTAATTTTGTTTTTAGATAAGATGTGAAGGAATCAGGCTGTTTCTTCTGTGGCTTCAAGCACTTCAGACAAACTGTGCAGAAGAGCAGGTGCTGATTTTTGCTTGCCTGGTGCCTGGTTTCCCAGCAGTCATGTCATCCAGGGGCCCTTGCACACTGGAGACACTCATCAATCCCAGCCCTAGTGTAGCTGATGGTAAGTTATGTTAGCAGATCTCCCATGTTGAAATTATTCTTGAACTTAACATTGAGAAATTCTTTCTTTTTCATTTTCTTGAATAGAAATCCTGATGGAGTCTGAAGAGGAATTATTCCCCTTTCATATTCACTGTAGATTCTTACACACCTTAGAATCAAAAGACTTGGAGCTTATTTTATATGAAATGATGACAGGAGAAATTTACTGAAGTGATGGAAGCAGGAATAGGAGGGGACAGATGTTGGCAGTAGCAGGAAGTAAAAACACATGGGAAGTCTGGACTGGTTTTCTGGCTATTAATAAGATTAAACTCCACCATCCAAAGCTACTGTCTATTCTTATCACTGTTGTTCATAAGTGGACATTCATCTGCTCACCAGGATCTTATTTTGCCACTGTGTATTTTCCTGCAGCATCTATGGAAAGACAATAGTGGTCTCATGGGACTATTAACGGTGGCCATTTGTGTCCTGTGAGTTTTCAAGGAACTTGCCTGTTGGGACCATTGATTTATTACTGTATATTGCACTATTGCTCAATGACTGGCATTTGATCTTGGGCTGACCAAAGCAGAATTCGAAAGGGAAAGAATGGTGCAGCGGGAGAAGGTGCTTCGTGGGCATCTGGGCTGTGTTTCCAGGCCCTTTAGGCACACTGCCTTGGAGTGTGCTCCTCAGTGTGAGCAGTTTCAGTGGACGGAGAGATGTATTTTAATAGAGACCATTTTTAAAACCCTAAATTCTGTTTAAAATTTAACTTTGGTGAATGAGCTCTCATCATTTTCTGTCCTTTCAGTAAAGATATATCCAGAAGAAATCACTCCACTCCTGCCAGCCATATCGGGGGAGAAGATTGCTGAGGACCAAACCTGCTTTTTTCTTCAAATACTGTTGAAGTATATGGTTATTCAGGTCAGAGAAAAATTATGACTTTTTCAGTGTGGTGGGTTTATTCTCAGCAGGAAGAGGAAATATTGCCTCTTTTCTCTCTGCATATCCGTATTTTTTCCCTTTTCTTTTTCTTTGAGTTGATTTTATGTGATGTTTCAGCAAGTGCAGAGTATGTACCATTTTTTAGGTCACTGCAGCAAGACCAGCTGTATGTACTATTTTGTGAGTGTGTTTAAACCATTTTTCTCTCTTTACTCCTTTCCTACCCCTAATCTCTATGCTTGCAAGACAGGTTGAAGGAGGAGGCGGGCCCAGAGGCTGAACAGGTGGACAGGAATAGGCAGAGAAGACCTGTTATCAGGGGATCTGAAGGAAAGCACATGGAGCAGTCTCCTCATGCCATTGGCACAGGCCTCCTTTATGTCATGTATTATTTTTTCTCATATGCACCAATTGCATACAGAACTGAAGTAACTGGTTTATGATTTTAATAGGAGATTTGTGACCCTGGTCTAGATTTCTGAATAATAGTTAGAATAAAATGTTCTGATTCTTTTTTCTCAGCAAATACTTCTGTTGTCCTTGAGTTCGTCCTGGGTATTGTCCAGTATCTGTCTTCCCCTTCACAGCCGAGTTGTTGAAGTAATAATCTCTACTGAGTTCGCATCCTCACTTCATATTCTTTTGACACCCACTGTTAGCTGCCTTCTGCCCTGTCACTGCTAAAGTGGCAAGCCCCAAACCACAAGGGTTCTAGGGTCAGCCCAGAAGGAGGGCACACTTCAGGTTTTGCTCTCCTTGTTCTTTGAGGGGATTTGACTACCCCTCCTTCGTGAGTTTCTCTCCTCTTCTGATATTTTCTCTGGCATTTCTCCCTTCCTTTCACTCCTTTCTAGTTTTCTTTAGGGAACTGTGCTTTTCTCTGCTATCTCTCAAGATTCAGTACTTGACTGCTTTTTCTGAATACTCAGCAATTTTGTCCCCTTTCCTTGCCCCTTTCCCTTTAGCCAGTAACAGAAACACAGGACTTCAAAATCCTGAAAACCTGACTGGGGCGTGCTTTCATATTCTGGAAACTCCACATTTGAACTCTAATGGCCCATTCTAGATGCATCTCAAATGCCAGCTGTTCAGAAATGTTTGAACATTCCATTTGTCCTGGAAAATCAACAGAGTATCCAGAACTTGTGTTGGGGGCCTTGGGTTCTCATTCTAGGTGTGTCACTAATGAGTTGTGTGACCTCAGATAAGGCGGATGGAATTGATATAGGATAGAGGTTTGCATGCAGACTGTGAACCTTCTAATTGTGTGCAGAGTTTTAGGTGCATATCGGTGCCTCCCTTCTGCCTTCTCTTCTGTCGATTGAGATGAGTTCTCAGAGCACAGCTTTTGGCATATTATGGGTGCTGAGCCCTGCTGCCCCTGGGGTAAGCAAAGCATCTCATCCCTTTACCTCAGGTGCTACACAAATTTCATTTTCTAAGTGGGCATGTCAGGAAGGAAGTTGGGAAGCCCTGCTCTAGAGCGCTCTGTGGTCTAACAAACATTAAGAACCACTGACAGGTCTTCTCTAAGGGCCATATTTCCCTAAATCATGTGGGGGTGACTGCACCTGTTTAACCAGGCTGTCCTCCTGGCTCCTGAGGGATGGTCCCAGATATTGAGCATTTTTGGAGTGCTCCCACTATGCAAACACTGATGGGTTTTTGAGAGGGAGAATATTATCTCAACACTATGAAAGATTTAAACTTAATCCATAGTGGACTGGCATGCCTGGTTTATCTTAGCCTTTGAATTTTTTTAATACAGAGAATGCATTTTCCAAGATTCCATGGATTTTGCCTTTTGATATTGATTTTACATGTAGGTAACATTGGATGAAATTCTTGAGAAGGATTGTTTCTTTAATTTCTATTTATTATAAATGGCCTTTTTCTGAGTTTAGAAAAAAGCACCTGATTATTCGTGACTAAATGTTTTAAAGGCACAAGAAATGTTAGATAATTACAAAAAACAGAGAGAAAAAATATGGACATGATATAGCACGTTGTAAAAGATACGATGTCATTGAGTTGTTTGGTTCTCAGTAAAAATGCTGTTTTTAACATAGTTACTGTTTTGTTTTGAAGTATTCATTCCTGCCATCTTTTGAGCTTTGTTATTATTTCTTTACATGATTGTCAGTATATTTGTCATTTTTTACATTTAGGATAGGAACTTTAGTAACATAACACTTCAGTTTAGTATATGTTAATTTGAAATGTAAATATACATATGTTCTTTTCCACATATTATCCAAAGGCTGCAAGCTTGGAGTGGAAGAATAAGGAGAATCAAGATACTGGTTTTAAATTTCTTTTTACATTGTTTCGAAAGTATTATCTTCCTCATTTATTTCCATCATTTACTAAGTTAACAAACATCTACAAACCTGTACTTGGTAAGTACTGTTGGAGCCGTGTATAGAGGATATCCAAAGGAAAGCTATGCAGTCTCTTTCAAAGTGACCTTTGATTATTTTAAAGTAAAATAGTCATTTTATTTTTGTATTGAATGGTAACTTTATTATTAGATGTTTAAAGTTTCTTAATAAGTGATTTTAATTATTTGTACCTACTAAGATATACCTCAGCTCACAGCAGTAAAAGGGAACTGTGGCTCCTGTACTCAGAAATAATTTGAAATGTATTTATGATATTTTTGGTATAATTATATTGTCATCCTTTAACGTAAAAATCTCTGCATTTCCTAAAGTCTTTCCTTGTGGGTGGTGGCATATGGTGACCTCAGGCTTTGTTCAGTGACTGGAGGCCAGCCCAGGGCAAATAGCTGCCATTGTATGCCTTTTCTTTCATGCTGGGTGCTACATCCAGCAGCTACTACTGACAGGTGCTTATGGAGAACCAAATTTTAGGTGATTGTACAAGCTATGGGCAGTAAGCCCCAGAGGACTAGGAAACAGAAAGGAATTTCTAATTTGGCACCTAATGTTTTTTTCTTCTGTAAGAAATGAGGACTCAGAGGACAGAAGCATCCCTTAGAGTGGTGAAGGTGGGCGTCAAATCTTCCTCTCCCTATTATCTAAAACAGGTAGTTCAAATGAATAATTAAAAACAGTTTTGGAGGGGAAATGGTGACATGAGATGTTACTCTTTTGGGGAACATGGTCACCTGATTCAGTTGTCTGCACTGTGTGTGTTCTGTGTTTGCGTACACACACACACACGCACGGGAAGAGAAGCCAAAACTTGGTGCGTTTTGAAAGATGTAGAATTACTGACTTTTAGGGGCACTGGGACATGTATTTCCTTAGCTATATATATGTGAATATTTTTTCAATATTTGTTTCTGATTTCATATGTACTCTAAATTCATTGTGAAAACATGGTATATTGTTAATATTGCTAGATTAAAAGTTATTTGTTGATAATTTTTCTGCCTTATACAGGTATTCCAGATATACAAAAATTATTAAGATAGAGAGTTGAACTTATGGCAAGTAGTATCTCAAATCCAATACCATATAATTTTCATATTGATTATGGAATTTAAAGAATGAGAAATTGACTTCTTATTAAGTCTTTGGAAAAGGTAGCATTTGATTGCCTCAAAGATGAAATGTGACTTTCTGAATTCTTTTAAATATAAAGTAGATGATATTGATTCTGTTTCATTGGATTCATCTAACGGGAAAAGGTTATAAAACTCTAAAGTTCAGTGGATTTAATCGCTGCAATGTTAGATGTTAAAATACCTAAAATTATGTTTTAAAAGTTCATATATATGTTTACATTTGTTCCAGCTATAAAATTAAATTAGGTATAATGTATGTGAAAAGATTTTCACTATTATAGTCTCATGTAATTTATCAAAATTGTTAAAAATAGTTGTTAGCTTAGTTTTTCCATAGCTGTATATCATAGATACATAAATAATCACCATTACCACCCATTCTCAGTCAGATCACAAGGTGGAATCAGAAAGGAGCCTACCAAAAAATGCCATTTTTAATCATTGAAGTTGTTCATTCTTAATTGCTATTTAGACAACCAAAAATTGGATTTAATTGGAAACCAAAACATTTGTAGGGGTTACATAATGTTATGATTTATTAGCCTAATCAATCATGTGTTCTTTTTTCTACCAGACATCCCCCATTTGAGACCAAAGCCAGTGTACATTACTACAACTCGAGACAATGAGAACATTTACAGTACAAAAATTCCGTATATGGCAGCTCGTGTTGTTTTTATTAAGTGGATTGTAACCTTCTTTTTGGAAAAAAAGTATCTAACTGCAACACAGAACACTAAAAATGGAGTTGATGTATTGCCTAAAATCATCCAGGTATGCTGTTCATCATCTTTTTATCTGTTAATGCTTCTGTAATAAAACACACTGGAACATAGCCGGAGTTATTGATTATCAGAGTTATAGGTTCTTCCAGGTTGTTGGTTATAGGTAAGTGATTTTATTGGCCTACCCTGTCTGTAATGCCGAGGTTTCAGAGGGAGTTGTGAGTTTGAATCACTTGCTGTGCATTGTTAGGATTGCCATGATGATGCAGTCTCGGGAGCCATTCTGAGAAGATGGCTGTTGTGTGCACACTCCTGGTTCCTCCTCATTCTCCTCACTTGAGTACCAGTGGCCTCTGAGCGTGAGAACAGAGGCCTGTCTTGCCTTCACCAAGCCCCAATAGCTGGAAGGCTCTTAGGAAACTGTAAGTGGCCCATGGTGAGGACCTGTGAGGCTGCCAGGCGCCCTCTGGCATCTCAGGAGAGGGAAGTAGATCAGCAGCTCAGGATTTTGGGCTGGCTGTTGAGCAATGGTGGGGACCCTAGAAGAGGAGGCTACCTCTTCCCTGAGGCCTTCAGAAGAGACCTTTCCTTGTATGGGGCCTGCTGTGCTTTTTCTCTCTTGGCCTTGGTCAGCCATACACAAATGGGGGCTTTCCCAACAGGCTGAGTTGCTTAGGGACTTGGTGGAGCACTACCATTTGTGGAGGTCACAGAGCAGCCACTTCACTAAGGGATCATGGTGTCATGTGCTCTTTTGTTTATTGTCCCCAAGAACAGGGATAGGAAGTGTGGTCCACTGACTGCAGATTTGCCGATGCCCTGGAAGTCCCAGAAGTCCGACCTAGGCCTGAGCTGAAAGAATGCACAGACCTGAGGAGGCAGATAAGTGGCTCTTGTGCTTCAAGGTTATTAGGAACCTTGATGGAGAAACAACAAACAGTCTAGAGCATGTGGCTCCTCTGGGGAGAAGTCACTGAAGAGTGAGAGGAGAAACCTATTTTCAAAATCTGAGGGAGGTGCGATTGCAGTAAGAACAATGAAAGACTTGCTGAAAGAAAGTTTTAAAAAACCTTTGAATGTCTTAGTTAGAAAAATTAGTAAATAAAATGAAAATGGTAATGATTATTGCTGAGGAAGAAAATTAGTTTTCTGAAAAAAATCCCACCACAGTGACTAAAAATTTAGAGAGATAGAAATAAGAAATTGGTAGACAAGATCTAAGTACAGGTCCCTACCTTACAAATATTAGGTGGGTGGAAGAAGAAGAGAACGAGAATAATTGAACAAATAATAATTAAAGTTTGTCTGAACTGAAAAAAAAAAAAAAAAAAAAAAGTCATGCCTCAAACTTAAAGGGTCTTTGAGTCCCAGGAAAAATTATCAAGACACAAACCTAAACAGACATTTGATTTTCAGGAATTAAGAGACAGTGGTATAGGTTTCCAGACAGGTTACTTCAAAGGAATGAGACTGAGATTAGTGTTGAACATCTAATCAAATCTGCAATCCTGCAATCTCTTTCTCTCTCTCCTTCACACACACACACATCCGCCAACAGGATGTCAGTCAAGATTAAAAGAAAGAATCATAAATTAATGGTGTTGGAATAATTGGCTAGTCTCTTACAACATACTGAAGCAAACGACAGATTGATTTAAGGTCTACAATAAAAACAAAATACTGAAGAAATGTAGGCTGGGTGTGGTGGGTCACGCCTGTAATCCCAGCACTTTGGGAAGCCGAGGCCGGCGGATCATGAGGCCAGGAGATTGAGACCATCCTGGCTAAGATAGTGAAACCCTGTCTCTACTAAGACTACAAAAAATTAGCCGGGCGTAGTGGCGGGCGCCTGTAGTCCCAGCTACTCAGGAGGCTGAGGCAGGAGAATGACGTGAACCCAGGAGGTGGAGCTTACAGTGAGCTGAGACTGCGTCACTGCACTCCAGCCTGGGCAACAGAGCGAGACTCCATCTCAAAAAAAAAAAGAAAAAGAAAAAAGAAAAAAAATGTAAGAGAAGGGAAAATTCAGGAGAGTGTCTAAATTTGGGAAGTGGTAGACTACCTTAGGTAGAAATAAGACCCAGTAGGCTGGGCGCCTGTAATCCCAGCACTTTGGGAGGCCAAGGCAGGCAGATCAGTTGAAGTCAGGAGTCTGAGACCAGCCTGGCCAACATGGTGAAATGCTGTCTCTACAAAAAATACAAAAATTAGCCAGGCATGGTGACAGGCACCTGTAATCCCAGCTACTTGGGAAGCTGAGGCAGGGGAATCGCTTGAACCTGGGAGGTGGAGGTTGCAGTGAGCAGAGATTGTGTTACTGCATTCCAGTCTGGACAACAGAGTGAGACTCCCATTTCAAAAAAGAGGGAAGAAAGAAAGAGAGAGAGAAAGAGAAGGAAGGAGGGAGGGAGGGAGGAAGCAAGGACAGAAGGAAAGAGAGAGAAAGAGGAAGGAAAGGAAGGAAACAAAAGGAAAGAAAGAAAAAGAAAGAGAGAGAAAGACCCAGTAGCCATGGAAGAAACGAGGTTTGACTTTATTTAAAAAAAAAAAGTGAAAGATTTTTGTGTCAAAAGACTACATAAGGCCAGATCCAATCAATAGACTATGAAGTAACGTCGTGACTATTAAAAGGGTTAAGATCTCTGCTATATAAAGAGTACCCACAAACTGGTAAGAAGACAACCCCACTGAAAAATGGACAAAGGAGATGAGGGTGGCTCATAGAAGGCAGACTACAGGGACCCCTGATTTTATCGGCAGTCAGAGAAATGCAGTTAGTTCTGAACCACGATGAGATACCTTTATTCACTTATCAGGTAGACAAAAATCTGTATGAAATTACGTCTAGGAAACGCAGTCATGCTCTTTGATAAATTTACATCACATCTGAAGCGATTGTCACTCAATTCAAAAAAGTCTTAATTAAGGGGTGTAACCTTTCCTCTCTGGTTTAAAAAGATCAGAAAACCATCACCTGTATTTATTGAAAATAAGTAGCTCATTCTTGAAAAGTACATCTGGATGATGAGAAGTAGAAAGAACAAATTAACCACTGCTTTCAGGTTCTGATTTTTTCTTTTAGTTGACTCTTCACAGTTGTGAGTCATCTACTTTTACTGTCTAGCTTTTTTAACATCTTAAAGGTTGGAACTTTGGAATCAGGATGGTTCCATCATCCGCATGGAAAAAGGATCACAGCTCAAACTGTCTTAAACATAAAATAAATACTGTAATCTTACTAAAAAGAAGCACATGGTGAGGCTGGCTGAGAATACGGTTCACTCAGGCATTCTCCCTGGTTCTCTGTGGTCTTCTCCTCACTGTTCTGCCCTTTCCCTCTGAGAGCTTTGTCTACAGCAGCTTCCCCCTTGATTGTAAGATGGCTACCAACAGCTGGGGCACTGCTTTTCTTGTTCACATTTAGAGGCGATCCACAAATATAAAGCCCTTTCCTTTTGTCTGAGTGGAACAACTTACGTTACCTGCCTCCCCCTGGAACAGTAACAAGAAACTGATTTGCTTAAAGCTGGGTGTGTGAGTGGGCCAGGAGATGTCATGATTGGCCTCCACAAAACAGATTGGTCCCTTAGTACTGTGGATGGGATCAGCTTCCTGCGAGTCAGTTGAGGTGCATAGGAGGAGGCGCACAGAGGACTGAGGTTCTGTTAGGGAGGGAGAAAGAGTGCTGGGCTGACAGCCATTTGTACCCTCTGTGCCATCACACCCTGCAGATGACTGTCCCTAGAAATGGCCACTACCATTCTAGAGACTGCCACTATACCTCACAGTAAGTTGTTATATTAGTTTCTTACTGCCACTGTTGCAGATTCTCACAAACTTAATGTCTTGAAACAGTACAAATTTATTATCTTACGGTTCTGAAAGTCAGAAATCCAAAATCAAGTTATTGGCAGATATGTGTTCCTTCTCGAGGTTCTAGGGGAGAATCCTGTGTTCTTGCCATGTCCAACTTGTAGAATCCTGTGTTCTTGCCATGTACAGCTTCTGTATTCCTTGGCTGTGGCCCTGCATCACACCACTTTTTCTCCCAGTTTCCATCATCACTTAGCCTTCTTTGTCTGTTATCCTCCTGCCACCCTCTTATAAGGACCCTTGGATTATATTGGGACCATTTGGATAATCCAGAATAATTTTTCTATCCCAATAGCCTTAACTTAATCACATCTACTGTGTCTCTTTTGCCATGGAAGGTAACACATTCACAGGTTCTGGGGATTAGGACATCCTTGGGGAAGTCATTATTCAGCCCACCAGCGGTGGTTGGTCTGCAAGGTCCAAGATTATTTCATTCACGTGCCTGCTACTTGATGAGGGCAGTTGGAAAGGAAAGCTGGGTTCATCTGGGACTTCTTGTTCTGTTTTCTGGTTAGCAAGGTAGTTGGACTTCTTATATGCCTGCACAGGGTTCCAAGAGTGAAATGTTTCAAGAGATGGGAATTGTTAACCAACAGCCTCTTGGGCCTGAGTCTGATGCTGGCACAGGTCTCTTCCATTCTATTCTACTGGCTAAAGCAGTCATACAGTCCATGTAGATGAAAGGGAGGGGACATGGGCCCCATGTCTCTGTGGAAGGAGTGTTAAAGAATTTGTAGTCATCTTTAATTTGCCATATATGTGCATATTGTTTTTTTTCTTTTTTAGTTTGTGGGGAAAATGGGAGTTATAGGTCAAAAAGTCACAGGTTATTGAGCCATAAGAGACTTTAGACCTAATCTAGCCTCTGTGTCCTACAAATTAACATATATGTGTGTGTATATGTGAAATCCAAGTGAGTTGCGTGACTTGTGTTACAGTTAGGAATGTGGAGAAGCAAGTCATTTGATTCTTAGTTTGGGCCTCTTTTTTCTGTGCTATACTCATCCTTGGGCCATTCCTACTGAAACTTCAGATAAAAAAAGAATAAAATGAATAAAGTGTTATTTTCGTGTGGAAGATAGTGGATCCGTCAAAAAGATAAAATAATTTCCATAGGTGAGCACATCTCACAGTGTGATAGTGCCTTTGATAAGCCACACAGGCTTAGTAACTAAGGCATGAAGAGAAAAATTATTACAAGTATAATATTCCTTTAATTTTCTCTAGAGATTATTATTGGATATCTGTTTTGTTTTCAAACTGTCCTTGGTAGTTACTGAAATTAGTTTTGCACTATTCATATCTTATCTCTTCTTGTAAAAAATATTCACAGTAGGTAAATTTTAATTGTATTTGGGCTATGTATTTTTGACACTTAAAAGTAATAATAGAGTTTGCAAAGATGAAGCAAAATTTTACGTATATTTTGTTTGGAGGAAACCTTTAATTCTATGTGGATATGAGAGCAGAAATCAGTGTTAAGCTTTGTGAGTGATTGCATGAATTACTTCATTTCTTTGCATGCCTAAAGTCTTTTAAATGTTTAAAATTTTGTGAATATCTCTTTACGTTAGACCTAAGATTCTGAGGATAAAGCTCAGATCAGCATTCTTCTGATAAAATACCCTTTGAAGATCTTCACACTCCACTGTCAAGCTGCCACTTAGTCACATAAATCAAATGATGCATCCTATCATCGTTGTACAAGAAGTCCCCTGAATTTTCCTATCTCTGTGACCATAGGAGCAAATGCTAAGGTGTAGAGACCTGATGTGATGATAATACAAATGTGTTTACACATTAATTTATTCTGTGGTTTTACAATGCAAATTAAACCTTTTAGATTGGGAAAATTTCCCAGCCCTCCTTTCTGAAACAGCTTAGTAGTTTTCCTTTTAAAATAGCTGAGTTGGGAGGGATTTGTTGGTTAGTTAGAAAATTGGTAAGTACAGGCTCTGGAGCCTGTCGTGCTTCAAGCAGTTGCTGGTTTTGGTTTGCTGTACCCTGTGCACGTTGATGGTAACTAGAGTTACTTAAAACAAGGCAAGACTGAAGTTTGGCCAGGTGTTCTTGAGTTGGGGTGAGCATCATTGAGAAGTGTGCTGACTTTCTTCCAGACTGTTGGTGGTGGTGCTGTGCAGGAGAGAGCGCCTGAGCTGGATGGTGGTGGGCCCATGGAGCCAGACAAAAGCCATTCTAACAGCAGCACCCTGTCGGACCGAAGACTCAGTAACTCCAGCCTCTGTAGCATTGAGGAAGAGCACCGAATGGTGTATGAAATGGTACAGCGGATTCTCTTGTCAACACGAGGTTATGTCAACTTCGTGAATGAAGTATTTCACCAGGTTAGTGTGTGTGTGTGTGTGTGTGTGTGTGTTACAAGTTCTTGAAACGGAAACGATTTTGTTTCATGTTCTTTTACTTGTAACACTCCAACAAATAGAGTTGATGAGTTGGGTTACGTTACAGAACTGAATAATAACGAATGATCCCTCTAATCTTTTAATTTGTGTGGATTGCTGTGATTTTTAAATTTTGTTGTTGAAAAACATTTACACAAGGAGGAAAAATTCTGTATTTGAGCAAAATCATGAGACAGATACTTTCATGTTTTTGTGACAAAGTAAACTCAGAATTAGGTGGGAAGAAAGCCATTCCTGAATACCCAGCAACAAATGAACACAGCAAAGAAGAGTCCAGTCTTATTCCCAGAGCCTTAAGGAGCTCTCTGAGGAGGTGGAGGTTTCTGCAAAAACCTTGCAGAGGCGTGTGGCACTCACAATATGATAGAATTATTTAGGGCACAAGAGAAGAAGGTAGGTGGCAAGGGGAATAAAAGGAAAGAAAGGAGCAGAGGCCAAGACGAGAAAAGAGGTGTGAGCAAAGGAAGGAGACAGAAGAGGTCAGAAGCCCAGGCTACAGTTAGTGGCCATGAGTGACATCAGAGGTTTGCAACTGGGGTTGACGCTACTCCCTAGGGGACATTGGCAATGTCTGGAAACAGTTTTGGTCATCACACCTGGGGTGCTACTGGTGTCTTAGCGGGTCACAGCCAGGGATGTTGTTAAATATCTTGCAGTGCCCAGAATGGCCCCCACCCCAACCATGACAAAGAACTATCTGGCTCAATGTGTCAGTAGTTCTACTGTGGAGAGACAAGAGACTCAGCACTAGCCTTCAACACAGCAAGCAGAGCTCCCACACAGCAAGCAGAGCTCCCACACAGCAAGCAGAGCTCCCACACAGCAAGCAGAGCTCCCACAGATCTGGAGTGTGACATGTGGCCAGTGCCACTTGACTCTAGGTACTGGTGCTCTTGAACACAGGAATGTGGCCTATTTGTGGGTATGTGTATATGAGGTGGAATAGTTGTTTTATCCATAGACCTGAAAAGTAGGTTAAGCCCTTGAATGGCAGAGTGCAGCTGTAGGTGAGGAGGAGAGGAAGAGTCTTGTACATATGAATGACGGGAATGCACCACAGAGAACTTCTTTTGGCGAGGCAAGTTTTTGAGATAGTGAATGATTGGCCCTATCACTTCTGGGACTTTAATTACAAAAAATCAACCAAAAATGAAAGTCTCAACCTAATCCATAGCAGTATAGAGATTTTACCATATTTTCATTTTAATGAAGAACAAATTTTACTTAAGAAAATGTTTGTTTAGTCTGCAATTAACATTCCGCTTATAAAATTTTTTTTTCTGGTTCTGTGGCCCAGCACTGCCTTGATTCTTCTCACTCTCCATGTCTTCTCTGTTTCATGTCTTGGCCACTCTTCCTGTTTTATCCCAAATTACAGGTGTTAACCAAGATTCAGGGCTCAAGTCTTTGCTGTAATTCTACACTTGGCCTCCTTGGGGCCTTTACTGCTGGTCCAGTGCCAGCAACCACTGTGGTATATGTCTCCCTGTCAAGCCTTTTGTCTGAACCTCACTTGTAAATAAAAATATTAATTTCATTAAACAGATTTTTTATACTCATGAAAGATTTGTTACTGGCAGAGGATATACCACACCAGGAGCCGGAAAGCGTAACGCAATGCTGCAGAGACCAGGTACACCTGAGCACAGCTTCAAGGGCCCTCGCTCTGCTGCACAGAAAATGTGCCCTCTCGGGATCATGATTCACCGTCATGAGAGTGAGTTATCTGTCTCAGGGAAGACAGGGCGCAAGTTTACTGAGAGGTCCTTCAGACCTAACTAATCACACGGCTAAAATCAGGCAGAATGACTGAGTAAGCCAGCTGTAGACTCTCAGTGTCTACATTGTCACTGAACAATGTAGACAAGGTGGCCCTGGGTGCCTCCTACACTTGCCTTTTAAAATGGCCATGTGCCATTGCATGTGATGTTCCTGTAGTATCTTAATGATAACAAGACCAAAGCCTGACTCATTTTTTCCCCCTAATATCAGCTTATCCTCTTGACTTGACTGCTTCTTCAAAGGGACCTGTATTCATGTTTGCATCTTAATTTTAATGCTCCTAGGTTCCCCATCTCCCTCTCCTCCTATGACAGTCACTGGATAAGTCACACAGGAGTTTTGCTTGCTCCTTTGCTCTCCATTTTCTTTGACTGTGGTTAGCAGCCCTCTCCTTGGAACTCCCCTCTTTCTGTGTCATCCCCCTCTAGGTAGTACTGCACACATCATACTGCCAAAACAGTTTTTTTTTTTAATAATAGTCCATTATTTGAAAACCTAGCCCATTCCCTACATTAATGTTGTCATATTCATGCTGCTGTTGTACATGTGAAAGGTCCATGGCAACTATTTGAGTTGAAATAGTCAGGGTCCTGGAGTGTATGATCTATAGCAGGGGTCAGCACACTTTTTAAAGCAAAAGGCCAAATAGTAAGTATTTTAGGCCTCATGGATTATCCTGAATGCACCTCAGAGAGACAGAGAGGTGAGAGCTGTGAGAGATTGAGACCTGGAGGATCTGGTGAGAAGGTCCAGTAGGTGTTCACCTCTCCTCTGGCTGCATTATTATTTGCTTACTGTTCTGCCACTTTTGGAAGAGTATCCTACTCTGATTGTGGATTTTTTTTTGAAAGCCTATCAGTTTTTGATATATTTTTGGCAAAATTATTAGTTGCAATACAAATTTAGAATTAGTTTATATTCCTTTGAATTGAACGTTGTCATTAAGAAGTTTCTGTCTTCATCTCTAGTAATGGTTTTCTGGAGGAGGGGCACAAAGTCTTATCTTGTCTATTTTTAATACAGCTCTACCAGTTTTCTTTTGGCTAGTGTTTGTGTGGTATATCTTTTGCTAACTGTTTACTCTCAGCCTCCTCTGTTCATAAGTTTTGGATGTCTTCTTATAAATTACAGCTAAGTCTTTTAAATAGATTTTTTGTCTTTTGATTGGATCATTATTCATTACATTTAACATAGCAACTGCTATTAGGTTTTAGTCGGCTGTCTTCTTACTTTCTAGTTGTATTGGACCTTCCAGCTCATTGTTTTTAATATCCTATTTTTCTTCTCAAATTAAATGAGTTTTACAGTCATTTGTACTTACTTTAATAGTTAACACATGCATTCCTAACATGAATGCTAGCATTAATTCCAACTTTTACCGTCAGTACACGTTAGCTCTATTTACTCCTCAGTTTATATGCCATTGTTATTATTATGAGTATATAATATGTAGATGTTATCCCTTTCAGAACCACTGTAAAGTTTGTTTCATCCAGTTTTATTCTTTTTATTCATAAATATTTTCATAAATATGTTTTATTCATTTAAATTTATCCACATTCTCTTTTTATTGCTTTTTATTGCTTCCCAAATCTCTGACCAGGGAAAATTTCCCTTCTATCTAAAGAATAAGTTTTAATATTTCTCTTAGCTCAGGTCTCCTGGTAACAAATTTTCTCATCTGAAGATGTCTGTATTTTGCTTTCGTTTTAGAAGTATTTTGTTTCTGGGTGTCAAATTCTACACTGGCAGCCCTCTGCACATGAATCTTTTGTTCCATTGTTTCTTGGCTTCCATTATTTCTTTGAGAAGTCATAGAAAGTCATGTGGCTGCTCCTTTGGAGGAAATATGTCTTTTTTCTTCTGGCTGCTTTTAAGATTTTTCTGATTATCTTTGGTTTTCAGCAGTTTTACCTGTAATGTACTTCATATTTATCCTTGTTTTTCTTTGTGCTTCTTAAATCTAGGGATTGATATATTTAACCCATTTTGGCTAAATTCTCAGCCACTCTTTCCTCAAACATTGTTTCTTCCTGCCATCTTTTTTTTTCCTCTTTTTTTTCCTGCATCTCCAGTCATTCATTGGATAACCTATTCATTGTATTTTGTCTTTCTTATCTGTCTTCTGATTTATCCATTCTTTTATGTCTTCATAGTTTGTTCTAGATATTTTCTTCTGATTTTTCTTCCAGTTTTCTCTTTAGCTGTGTCCATTCTGTCCAACCCATATACTCTGAGTTTTTAATTTGAGTTATTTTATTTTTAAATCCCATTACTTTGGCTTTTGATACCATGATTATCTCGATATTGATATATTACATGAACCTTTGTTAAAGTGAGTTCTGCCTGTAACTGGATCCTGTGGCTTGAACCTTAAGGGCAGTATTAAAACAATCCCAGCAACTTGAGACCAAGACCTGGATTTGTGGCTAACTTTGTAACCCTGGAAGAATATCTCTGGTGCTGTAAGCCTCAGTATCCTCATCTGTGACATGAAAGCATCTGAGTATGGGGTACCTCTCCCTCTTGTTCCCCTCAAATATGGAAAGAGTTCTTAAAACTGATAAGCAAAAAGCAAATGCATTTCTCCTTTAAATTCTTTAACATTATTGGAATCTTCTCACATTAAATCAAAATTGCTGTATGGAGATGTGTGAGGGAATTCCTTAATGTTAAAAAGTTCTTATAAATATGCACAATGCTACAACTTTGCCATAGGCTCTTGTTAACATTGATAGCTGAACTCCTTAGTAACCTGATAAATGTGAAACAATTGTTTCTCAAAAAAATAATAATAACAAAAAAGGAAGGAAGGAAGGGAAAGGAAGAAGGACAAAAGCAAAGAAAAGGAGAAAAAAAAAAGAAACAGAAGTCCTGATTTGTAACAGATGCTGACTTCTGTGGTAGAACCACTCCCACTGTGGCTGATTCAGGCCAACACCATGACATCAGTGAACATGGAGATGAGAAGAGGTGGGCACAACTGGTTGCCACTGGCTGTACTAGTATGTCCCTTCTAACCTATTTCTGATTTGTTGGGAAAAGGTCCAGGTTGTGCATTATAATTATGTTTTGTAGCCAATTGAAAGATTTCTGTAGGTATGATTTGGTGATTTGGTTATTTTTGTAGACAAATTATTCAGAATATAAAAGTTATTTTTTTCTTTTTTCTTTTCTTTTCTTTTTTTTTTTTTTTTTTTTATTGAGACTGAGTCTCACTCTGTTGCCCACGCTGGAGTGCAGTGGTACAACCTCGACTCACTGCAACCTCCACCTCCTGGTTTCAAGTGATTCTCTTGCCTCAGCCTCCTGAGTAGCTGGGATTACAGGTGCATGCCACCACCCCCAGCTACTTTTTGTATTTTTAGTAGAGATGGGGTTTCGCCATGTTGGCCAGGTTGGTCTCGAACTCCTGACCTCATGATCCACCTGCCTTGGCCTCCCAAAGTGTTAGGATTACAGGTGTGAGCTACCACGCCCAGCCTATAAAAGTTATTTTTAACTGCCACTTTTTAGGGCTCTCTTACGAGAATGTCTTTGTTTCTGCTGGTAAGTTTGGTGTGCACAAAGATTTGTGGCCCTTTGTAGTATATTTATAAGCTATGTGTTCCAAAGGAAAGTGAAATAAGTGATGGTCATTGGAAATGTCCGTGATGCTGCCCTATACTGATCTGAGTTTGTTTGTAGTTAAAGGGAGTTTTCTCTTTTCCTTTCAGGCATTTTTGTTGCCTTCCTGTGAGATAGCTGTAACAAGAAAAGTAGTTCAAGTGTACAGAAAGTGGATCCTCCAGGACAAACCTGTGTTCATGGAGGAGCCAGATAGAAAAGATGTTGCCCAAGAAGATGCTGAAAAATTAGGATTTTCTGAGACTGATAGCAAGGAGGTAATTTTTTTCACTTGTCTTTTGAGTTGAGGGTAAATATATTTCAGTAAAGTATACTTGCTCAGTCAAGAGTCTTGTCAGTGGGACAAAGGCTTCCTTTTATCCCATCTGATACTTCTGAGGTGCCAGGTTCTGTGAGGGTCTGCCTTAGAGAGTAGCTTCTGTACTCCCATTCTAGATTGGCAGTCATCTCCTACAACTCTAGCCAGGGCCATCTGCGTGTTGCATCTTTGTTAGTCTCTATCGCAGGAGAGTTGTTTAATAAACCATCATATTTTACATGTCTCTTTGTGAGACTAAAAAAATCACTGCCTTCTCCTTGACTTGTTTAAATAAATATCATTTGGAGAAACTAAATTGAGAATGTTTGGGCAGACTTTTCTTGTGCAGTGGCCTGTACCAGGAGCAGCTGGGTGTTACCCCTGTGAAAGGAGTAACCAAACAGCAACGTCCCTCTGCTTTAAGCCTCGCTGAGTGCTGGCCTCCTGGAGGGACCGCTGCCCATGTTAGATAAAGCTATAGGTTGGATAAATCCAAAATGACAGAGTGGAATATCTTCCTGAAACGAAAGAAACTTAAGTGATACTTATATTTCTGGCATACTATTATGAAATTAATTTAAAATGTTTAAAGTTTCTCACTAGAGGCATATCACTTTAAAATATCTGTGTTAATTCCATAATTTTAATTTTTCAATATTGGTGAAATCATTTTAATAACTACCATGAGATCTAAATGAATATGCTACATATCATTTATCACTTATTTTAAAGCAAATTATCACTCATTTTAAAGGTCTATATTCCATGCTCACTCAGTCATTGGACAAACAGAACTCATTCTTTCAGCACATACTAAGTGCTGAGCACTATTTTAGGTGTTGACCATTGAGTGGGGAGCACTCTACCTCCTAGAACCTATTTTCATGTGAATCCTGGTGAGTTTAAGGAATTAATTATGCCAACTAAATATAACTTAGTTTATATAATATAATTATATTTATAGTTAAATGTAAGTTAAACATGTGCATCTTCTACTCTGTTAATGGATCATTATCTTCTGAAGGCCTCGTCTGAAAGTTCTGGTCATAAACGATCTTCCAGTTGGGGACGCACGTACTCCTTCACAAGTGCAATGAGCAGAGGGTGTGTGACAGAGGAGGAAAATACAAATGTGAAAGCTGGCGTCCAGGCTTTGTTGCAGGTATGTGGCTGGCCAGAACATGAAGACCCTTCCACCGCCTACAGCTGGAGCCATTTTGTCTTTTTATTTATTGGGGATAATGTCATATAAATATGGTGGTATTTGTAGCCATCTGTTAGTAAACAATAAACAGCAGTTTAATTAGTTATTAAATTCTTATTCTGAGTTCTCTTTCTAATTCCTACCCACAATTTACAAAAATTTTTTTCTAGTCAAAGAAGACATAAGAACTGATTGCAGTCTTTTTGAGATTATTATATAGTGAATGTGAAATGACTGAGATTTAAATCTTTAAATTATCTTCCAAACACACATGAATAGTTATCTGGGCTCTTAATTTGCAAGACAAGCTTGGTGATTATAAAATCTTATAAGTAATATTCCTCTTAAAATTGGCTGTGTTTACAAAGAAAAATGACTGATGTAGTTTTTAGATTTTTTTTTTTATTATACTTTATGTTCTAGGGTACATGTGCACAACGTGCAGGTTTGTTACATATGTATACATGTGCCATGTTGGTGTGCTGCACCCATTAACTCGTCATTTACATTAGGTATATCTCCTAATGCTATCCCTCCCCTCTCTTCCCACCCCACAACAGGCCCCAGTGTGTGATGTTCCCCTTCCTGTGTCCAAGTGTTCTCACTGTTCAGTTCCCACCTATGAGTGAGAACATGCAGTGTTTGGTTTTCTGTTCTTGCGGTAGTTTGCTGAGAATGATGGTTTCCAGCTGCATCCATGTGCCTACAAAGGACATGAACTCATCCTTTTTTATGGCTGCATAGTATTCCATGGTGTATATGTGTCACATTTTCTTAATCCAGTCTATCATTGATGGACATTTGGGTTGGTTCCAAGTCTTTGCTGTTGTGAATAGTGCCGCAATAAACATACGTGTGCATGTGTCTTTAAGGCAGCATGATTTATAATCCTTTGGGTATATACCGAGTAATGGGATGGCTAGGTCAAATGGTATTTCTAGTTCTAGATCCTTGAGGAATTGCCACACTGTTTTGAATGAATATATGAAGTAGAACTGACACCATTTGAGAACATTTGAAAGAGCAACTTTGGATCATTACTTAACCTCCCTAGAGCTCAGGATTTTACCTCAAAAGTGGGAATTGGGAGATTTCCTCTCAGGTCTCATGTAGCTTGAAGAGTAAGTGAAAATACAGGGTGCCTCTCATTCCCCGCTCACTGTGCCCTCACCCACCACCCTTCACTTCATCCACGTTTGGAGATGTATCACTTAGGCCTCCCATGTAGAGGCCAGGTGTGGAGTCTGGGGAAAGTCTGGGAATGACATGCATGTTTCTAGTTTTCTGTCATCTGTTTCTTGATAGGATTCGTTTTCGTGGTATCCTTTTTGTTTTCAAGTGAATTAGCAGTTTAATGTACCATACTGATGAATTTTCTCACTTTGCATTGAAAACCCACACATAATTTTGAAGTTAACTTAAAAAAGTTGAGATAATTTCACTTGTGCATCTTTTGGTGTAGCTCATAAATATGACCTGCATCCCCATCAGAGAAACACTTGCAGGAGTCCTTGCCCTTTGTCCCTCAGTAGCTCCGTCTTTTAGCTAAGGGGATCTCCAGCAACAGTTTGTGGTGGTTGCAGGTGCCAGTGATCTTCTGGGTTCAAAAGAGTGTTTTTTATTTTCTGAAAGGATGAGTTACATCTACAGTAAGTCCTCACTAATGTCATCAATGGGTTCTCGGAAATGGTGACTTTAAACGAAGTGAGTACAGCAGGTCTTTGAGTAACATGGTTTGATTCAACATCATTTCATCATAATGCATCATTTCATCATAATGTTCGTGAGAAAATAATTTTCTTTTATATTTTGCTTAAAGTCATCATTTCCAACAACCTATCAATGACGTTAAATGAGGACTTACTGTCCTTGCCTGAACTGAGAAAAAACAATTTCTATTTTATTATATATAGTGCTACAGTTAAAAAAAGTATTTACTTTGGATTTAAATAGTTAGTTTTGTTCTTGTATCTAATACCTTGGTCCTTTACTTTGTTTATTAAGAAAAAGGGCCAAATGGAGGTTTGATAAGATAGTTATTTTCTTTTTTTTCTCCAACTGTGTCTCAGATGTTCAAGAGATAGTAGTTTTCTATAGTTGCTTTTGACAAGTGCACTCTGGACATACTAATTTAGTTTATTTTTACCTTAACTGATGCCAGCACATTAATAAGAAATACTCATGCAGTACCTTTGATGTTTTGTAAAAAGTAAAAGTATATAAAGACTCCTTACATGGGAATGTGCAAAAAGTTTTTAATTCGCATTCAAGAAGCCAAATATATTGAATTAAAAGGATCTGTGTTGCAGTATATCATCTGTGGCATACTTCTTTCAAAAACAGAACCACTAAAACTGCTGTAATCAAAAAGCTCTTTGTTTTTGTTTTTCTTACTCAAAGACTAGTAAATTCTTCATGACTGAAGTTATCATCATCAACTATATTATAGTGCTTATTTAGTGATTTTTCTTAGAAAATTGGGACATAATACCTTTTAATCTTACTAAGATAACTTTAAAGGCTGTGAATATTTTAGTTCACCCACTTGACTTTTGATGTGAATTTTAATTTGGTCAGATTGTACATTTATTTTGATACAACACTTTAAAGAATTTTATTTATAAATGAGCTAGAGAAGCTCCTTCATCCTTTGAGTTTGTGTTGTTGAACACAAAGGAGATGTAAGAGGGAATGTACTAAGTATATGGAGCAGGTCCGTCCTCATACCAGATTGACAACTTAGAATATCTGCAGATGATGGGACACTGGTGTCAACTGTATAAATGGAAACGCACCATTATTTTGCTGTAGTGACTCAAAGCAGTAATAGTATGTGATATCCTGGATCAGCGCTTCTCACATTTTTCTGCTGAGATACCCCAGATGGTAGAGAACAGTGAACTTGTATGCTAAAGGTCTGAAGCAGAGGGTAGAGTAGTTGGCTGATTTTCTGAATTGTTTTTGAAATGTCAGCTTTTAACCTTAAGAATTCACTTAGATTTTGTATGCTACTGCATAATATATCTTTCATATTTAAAAAAATAGGCTCCTGGAAGACGTGTGATGTCAATGGCTTCGTCTGTTTCTGGGCACATCACAGCTGCTTGAGGTTCTTATGCCTGTTGAGTGGTGCTGTCCATTGCTCCTGTTAGCAAGGAGTTCATGCTCTAGGATACTCAATAAGAATCACATAGTTCTGTCTGACCACTGTCTGGCCATCTGTCCTCTTCTCCTCCCATTTCCCCACTAAAGTTTCTCATTCGTATGCAACAATCTTACTTTTTCCCCTTGTTTTCCTTTTTTTGTTGAGGGGTTGTCGAAAAGAAGTCTTCAAAAGCTTTTCTGACTCATAAAATTTCTGTAGTTGCAATATTAATATGTAATAGTGATTTTTTTTATTTTCCCCTAGGGAAAGGCTTTTCAGGTGTCTCAGTATTTAAGTGATTCTAAAGGGTGAACTAAAAAAAATTTTGCATATGTGTTGGTACCACTTGCCTTAATGAATTTTTGCCTTATTGTGAATTTATATGTTGGTACCACTTGCGTTATTGAAATAGAATCTTTTGGAAATAACTGAAAAGTGATTTCATTGGTAGAGTGAAATTAATATCATCTTTAAGCAAAATTTATTCAAATGTTTATGTTCAGTTATATTTTCTAATGTAAAATTGTTGATTTTAAGGTATTTTTGACGAACTCTGCAAACGTCTTTTTGTTGGAACCATGTGCTGAAGTTCCTGTGCTCTTGAAAGAACAAGTTGATGCTTGTAAAGCTGTTTTGATTATTTTTAGGCGCATGATAATGGAGCTTACAATGAATAAAAAGACATGGTGAGTTTCTGTCAAATTAATTAGTATTGTAAAACAGATGTTTCTGTTTTTCAACATCATTACAATGTTAAGGCTTGCATTTGTTTAATGTTTTTACAAAGTTAACGACAAAATGTCTTTTGTAACAGTTTCTGTGAATTATGAAGAAGGTAGTTATCCAGTACTTTGATAGATCAATTATTTTCATTATATTTTTTAAAAATGTCCTTGAACAATAAGTATTTTACTTAATAGTGGATTTTTCCTTTTAAACTTTCATCAAACGTAGTTTTGTGGAAAAGCAGCAACTGGTGTCTTATAATATTCATCATAAGCTCAGGAGAGTTTGTTAATTGCCCTGAAATGCTGTCAGCTGATTTTTATTGCTTCTAACTTGATGTTTTAAATTCATTTTGGAAAAACAATTATTTTAAATGATAAATTATCAGAGACTAAATACATAGTGCAGTCAAAAATCTGATCCTGTTATTAAAACTACAACAACGTTTTTTTCCTTTTCATCATTGTTTTTGTTTGATGTTTTTATTTATAATGTCCCTATAGGTAAACAATGCATTAGATTTTTTTTTCCTGCTCTTCTCTTTTTTTCCTGCTTTTCTCTTATTTGAAAGTCATCAGCCGGGTGCGGTAGCTCACGCCTGTAATCCCAGCACTTTGGGAGGCTGAGGTGGGTGGATCACCTGAGGTCAGGAGTTCGAGACCAGCCTGCCTAACATGGCGAAACCCCATCTCTCCTAAAAATACAAAAAATTAGCCAGGTGTGGTGGCAGGTGCCTGTGATCCTAGCTACTCGAGAGGCTGAGACAGGAGAATCACTTGAACCCGGAAGGCGGAGGTTGCAGTGAGATTGCGCCATTGCTCTCCAGCCTAGGTGACAGAGTGAGACTTTGTCTCAAAAAAAAAAAAAGTCCTCACTTTACTCCATCTGATGAGGTATTTTCAGTGATGCTCAGAAACAGACCAGAAAGCCTCAGAGTCACTTTCCATTTCTTCCTCTTCTCCTCGTGTCATCAGCCTCTCACTTCTGCCTTTAAAATGCTCCTCAAGCCTGTCCTTTGCATGTTCCCTCTCATTCCACTGCCGCCCTTGTGCAATCAAGCTGCCCACCCCAGCATCTCCCTAGGTGATCTTCTGCCTTGGTTCTCAGTCCTTGGAGGCCCTGCAGACCAGTGGCACCTTTCCTACCTGAAACCAGAGGGGTCCTCTGCCCATGTCTGCGTTCTGGAGGCCCTTGAGTCAGCAGGAAAGGGGCTTTGGAAAGTGTCTGCAGTTGGTAGGAAAGCGTGGACACGAGGTCTGATCGGAAAGGAACTGCAGGCCACCAAGTCCAATTCTTTTGCTTCAAAGATGAGGGAAGGGTGGACTCAAGAATCCTGGTGTGCAGAAAGTTCACAAGTACAGAAACCACAGGCATCAAAATGATATTATGATGTAGATTCCAACGTCATCTTTCCCAGACTTCTAAACTTAGCACTATTTGCCAAGTTAAGAAATTGTTAAAACTGGAAATATTACAGTGATGCACAATATGATGTAAACAAAGTTAAATTCCACGTCAGTAATACTGACAATAATGAGAAATGCTGGTATATGCTTTCAACTGAAATATCTGTTCTTGAATACCATAGTTTTATCAACATCATTTAAAATGTTTTTCTCCTTTGAAAACTTCCTGAGTTTTGTATACTACTGTATCAGCAGTTTTTGGATCTTTTTTGATAATATTTTTATTTTGATGAAAATTCTAGGAAATAAAATTAAGCAATTCTGTTCTGACTTTTACTAATTCATAGATTCCTAGGTGAAAGTATAGAAAAGAAAAATTGTAGAAATCGATGAAAATAGTTAACGGGAAAATGGTCAATAGAGCATAGAAAGGAATGTGAGCAGTTTCTCTAACAGATTTTCTTGTGTATTTAAGTACCAGATAATCCCTTGCCTCCCATCCCTCCTTTCCTTCCTCACTCCTTCTTCTCCCCTCTCTCCTTACGTCCTTTTCTTCCATCTAATAAATAACTATCGAGCATCTACTGTGAGAATATAGTGGTGAACTATGTAGACAAGGTCCCTGCCCTCATGAGGTTACATCCTCATAGGACCGAGAGACATTAAAAACCTAGAAGCAATTTCAGAGAGTCTGAAGTACTGAGAAGAACAGTGAAGGTTGGAAAGGGAAAAGAGTCCTGAATTGGGTGTGTGTTGCTTGGCATGGATAGAGGGAGAGTTATTTCCATCAGCTGTCAGAGAAGGCCTTCCTGAGCAGAGCCCTGAGTGAAGGGAAGGAGGAGCCTTGGGGAGGTCTAAGGGAAGGGCATTCCTGGTAGAAAGAGCAGCAGATGCAAAAGCCCTGATGGGAGAAAAGGCAAAAAAAAAAAAAAAGTGGCTTGTTTAAGGAAGGACAAGATGATGGCCAGTGTGGTGGAGTGGATGGAGTGAGAGGGGAGGAGGCAGGGGGCAGGCCAGGGCCAGGTTTCTTGGGGCCCTGCAGACCAAAGGAAGGACACCAGCTACCTCCCTGTGTGTCTGCAAGATTGTGACATAATACAATTTATGCTTCTGAAAGGCCCCTGTGGCTGCTGGAGAACATGCAGTACAGTGCCATAGATGATGGTGGCTGAGACCGGGGCTGTAGCCAGGGAACTGTAAGAAGTGGTCCTGAAATAGGGAATAACTGGTATGTAAATGAGTTGAAATGTCACCTGTATGAGGAGATGGAGATCAGGTAAATAATGAAGAATGTAGGAAAACCCTCACTCCTGTGTTGGACCCAAGGATGACACACATGCCTGATTCCATGTACTCCAACAGAAGTTTATTACACTCTTTGAGCAGTTCTCCTTGGAGAAGTCAGTGCTTCACAAAATAGAAAGGAACAAGCAGTTGTCAAAACTGGCAGCTTTGGCAGGTCGTGCATCTTTCTACTGTTAGGAAAGATTTTTCCAAACCATAGTTTTTCCACCCTTGCTTTCTTCTAGAAGACTCTGCATGCCTTTCCAAGCTTTCATAGGTTCAGCAATCAAATTGACTGTGTTTTTGTCAGTCATTGCTTTGATCACATTTGTAGCTTTTGATAGCAGTTGCCATGATCAAGGCTTTACTTGAAACTTATGATGTCTGTTGTTCTCATGATGGGTCTGTAACTAGTTGTGTGCAAGGGATTGTTTTTCATTGTCTTATGCATCATGTAACATGAATGGGCAGTGGTGATACTAGGTGCTGCCCTTCTCTTCCCTGGCGACAGGGACCTGGGTAGCCTGAATGTGGTGAGCGACAAGCTGTCCCCCAGCACTGTGCCATTTCTTCTCCCAGTTCTCTTCAAAGTCACCGTTGTACTTCATGCGTGTGTGCCCAGAAGATAGTCCTTCCTCTTCTGTGCTTCCAGAATCCATAGGCAGAGAATAGGAATACATGGGCAAGTAGCATGGAGTGCAGTGAGAATGTATACCAACAGATGACTCTGGGGACCAAAATCAAATGGGGCCAGCTACAAAGAGGGCAGGAAATCCCCACAGGTGATTTTACTGTGAGGAATTTTATGAGGTTCAGCATATTGTTAGGAGAAAATGCTATTCTGATATGCAGAGATATGAGAAAAGTATACAGGAACTATGATTTAGAGATCTCATCTGATTACTTTGTCCTATTCTCAGTTTTATTACTAAAGAGCAGTAAAGCCAAGGAGAAGGTATTAAAGATTAGATGAATGGTTAGCATGTGAAACCTGAAAGGAACCAGTGATTTCCCTCGAGGAACAAATGCACCTCTGTTACATAATGTGTTCTGTGTTCCCATGGAATCTAGGGGAAGAAAAAGTGAGCAGATACTCTGATATGAGCAATATAACTTAGGTGTAAGGAAGAAAAATGTCTTTTGGCTGTTCTGAATAACTTATTATTGTAATTAGCAGTGTTAGGCTGTCTCTATGCTGTTTTATAGTCTTCAAAGTCCTTTTACGTAAAACCTTCTGTGAGAGACTATAACAAATGCTGGCACATTGGAACTGAGCTGCAGTGATGGCATTTGTCTCAGTTGTGCCCTGTAGCGCAGAGTCAGGATCTTCCAGGCATGAGCACTGTGCCTGTAAGTGTCCTGTAATGCAAACCCCTCCTGCCTGTGAGAGTACTGTGGCATTCCACCATACCAAGATACTGACTGTGTGTGTCCCCAAAATAAAGGGCAGAAAGTCAACTTAACTTCCTGTTGCAAAGATAGGGAGACCTTACAGGTCGAGTTAAACAGCGGATAGCAAAATTAAAGAGTGCTGCATACGTTCCAGTAGGTTTTCACTGAGTGCCTTTAAGTTGTTGGCACAGTTGGAGAAGACAGTCTTGCCTCCCTTTTTGCAAGGGGAGAAAATCAGGCTGGAATGTTATGTTTTATCCTGCCTGTTTGTGTGGACATGGGAGGCATATTTTTAAAACCATTGTAACATAAGGGAGCTTATTTTGGTAAAATGTGATATTCGTTATGTAATTGGCATCTGGACTTTAATAGTTTCGAGTAATACGTAATTATCAATGTTGCTGAATTCTTAAGAGAATTTCTGGTACCTATAAGTTAAAGTACTTTGGAGACATGATTATTAATATGAGCTTTTATTTTGGGTGGCCCAGGGAACAGATGTTGCAAATACTACTCAGGATAACAGAAGCTGTCATGCAGAAGCCAAAGGATAAACAAATAAAGGACTTGTTTGCCCAGAGCTTGGCAGGGTTACTATTTAGGGTAAGTCTTTTTTATTAAAACACTGCAAATGCAAGAAGTCAATCAGATTTTATAGCAAACTAGTTTTAATCATTGAGAATTTTAACAATAATGTTAAATTTAAATTTCTAGAAATTTTTCTTCTTAGCTTTGTCCTGAAGGTTATGATCTATTCTTTACAATTAGTGCTGGGCTTTTAGGCTTTTCTCCCTTTCTGCCACCTCCTTCCTCTTTTGATTTGCTCAAGGGTGGTAGGAATTAGGAAGCTCTGAATGGCTTGGTGGAAGGCTAGGTAGATTTGGAGAGGTAAAGAATGAACGGAAGCATGGGAATGGGATAAAAAGTTGAGAGCCATCAGTGTGTTGGGAAATTGTATTTAAAACCACAGAATGGGCTTACCTAGAGAGGACAGTGTCCACAGGTGATGGAAGAGATGCTGAGAAAGGGTGACCAGTGAGCGAGGAGGAAAACCAGAGGAGTGTGTGTCCTGGGTGCCTGGGGATGAGTAATTGGGTAGGAGGAGAGCAGCCAGTTGACCATGGGCTTTGACAGATGTAGTTGGTTGAGAATGTTCTATGGGATGAGGCCCACCTGGAGTAGATGGAGGAGAAGATGAGAGCTGGGCAGTGGAGGTTGCAAGCGTAGTTAAGGCTTTGCAGAGTTTGATGTGGAAAGGAAGAGGAAAAGGGGAGCTAGCTGAAGTCGGTGGCATACATGGTGGGCGAGGTTTAAGGTGGGTGGTACTAAAGTATGTTTGCTCACCAATGGGATGGTCCAGTGAGGGAGGACAAGATGGTCTTGGGGAGACAGAGGATAACTGTAGAAGTGAAGTCCCGGATATGGTGGGGGGCTGGGCCGGTCTTTGATGCCTGTGCTTCTTGCATCTCATGTGGTGAGCAGGTGAAGACCAAGAGCAGGCTGATACCTGGTGAGCTGCCTGGGGAAGAGGATGTGCCAGAGGGTTCTGAGCATGGCAGCCTACTCTGACATTGCTAATATTTATGAGGACCTTAGAGTTTATGAAGCATTACTGAAAGAGAAGAGTGTGAAAGGGCTCTGGAAAAATGCGACATTCTACATAAATAAAGGTATTAGTACAGTGGGTAGACTTGACTTTGGATAATTACATAGGTGATTCTTTTGCATATGTCCAGCTTTGCTCTGCTGATGCCTGGAGGGTGGTACTGACCACTGCTTTGCTGCCTGCCTGGACATATGGACACTGTACACTTTGCCCTCTCAGCGAAGTGTCTCACTGTTGGCACCCTTTCGAGCTCCGTGTCCTGGACCTGGGCTGCCAAGTGGACATGAGCTGAAGCCAGTCTCACGCTGGCAGGTGCTTGGGCCTTATTCTCACCAATTGCCTGGCTCTGCATCTGTTTTGTGTGTTGGAATTAGAGATCTTGTCACAGAATTAAACAAGTATCTATTCTGGGGTTTGGGGTTTTTTTTTTTTGTTTGGTTGGTTTTGGTCTTTGGGGGAAAAAAAAAAACTCCCCCCATGTAATGGAGAAAACCTTCTCAGATATTACTTCCCTCCTCAGTTGGCCTGACTTCCCCGAAGCTCAGTTGACCTGACTTCCCTGTAGCTTAGTTTTGAGTTCATGACTATTAATGATTTTGATGTTGTTATTATTTTGGCAGTTTTTAGGTAGATCGAGAAGGATGCTTAAATTAAGAACTAACCATATGGCTGGGCATGGTGTCTTACACCTGTAATCCCAGCACTTTGGGAGGCTGAGGCAGGAGGATTGCTTGAGCCCAAGAATTCAAAACCAGCCTGGGCAATAGAGTGAGACCCTGTCTCTACAAAAAATTAAAAAAACATTAGCCGGCCATAGTGGCATGCACCTGAAGTTTCAGTTACTCGTGAGCTGAGGTGGGAAGATTGCTTGAACCTAGGAGGTTGAGGCTATAAGCGAGCTATGATTGCACCCCTGTACTGCAGCCTAGTCAAAAGAGCAAGACCCTGTCTCAAAAAAAAAAAAAAAAAAAAACCTACCATAAAAAATAGTGAAGAGAGGATGAGCTTTTTGGTGTTAGGCAGATTGTGGTTCTGATCTCAGCTCTGCTACTCCCTGGCTATGTGGCCATGAGCACATGACTTTAGCTTTCTGAGTGTCTTCCCTAATCTGTCACAATCAGGAAAGGACTTCTTCCTACCCTGCAGGGTTGTCATGAGAATCAGAGTGGTCCCATTGGGATTTGTGATCTTCTGTTGACCTCCCACATTCTTATGGGAGGTGCAAGAGGCAAGAATAGTAAGGGTCCGGACTTACCAGGCTATCTGGTGTCTGATGTCTATTGGGCATCATCGTGGTCCCATACTGTCATTAAGACGTGCTATCTAATTAGTATTCATTTGATCATGTGGACTGTCTAAAATGGCCAATTGATTTTTTTTTAAAAATTTAGAACAAGGAGACTTAAAAAAGACAGGACATTTTAAAGTTTTTATTACCCTTTTTATCTTTTTCTAGTTCTTCTTCTTGTGTTTGTTTTTTTTATCTGTCAGTAGATAACCTGGGCCACCAAATTTTCTTTAAGTGATGATTGAATTTGACTTAGTTTTAAATATTTACCAAATAATGATGATCACCTTATTGCCCTAAGTGATGTTTTAATTCATTATCAATGCTAAATATGACCTTATGCTTGACGTTCTGATGGTATATCAGGAAACTATGGTCCTGCTCTTTGTAATATGAGCCATTAAAGTTATGCCATCCCCTTTAATGTGCTGATAGAGTGAAGTAGGAAGTGGTTGGTTAGCAAATGTTCATTAAGAAAAGGAGTGATTTATTAGCTAAGGTGTTTTAAAAATACATCGTGTACCAAAATGTATCTGATAAAACATCAAATTTCAGTGCTGAAGGAACCTTGGAGAAGCTCTTATGCAACTCTTATGTTTAATGAGAAATGTGACTACAGAAAGGCCAAGTAACTTTCCTAGGTCACAAACCAGGGTAGTCCAGGCTGTTTGTTTCCATGTTCCTTTTAGAAAATGGTAATTGATCAGAAGGACACCCTGCCTTCATGTCCACAGGTGCCACCACTCACCACCCAACTGTATTTTACAAGTTTACCATTTTGCTCTGTGCAAGTGTTGTCAGTTGTGAATTATGATGATAATTCAACAGGTCTGCATACGTTTGTAATATTTGCTAAGTTGATTTTATAAACTGCAAGAAGTCATTCTGCACTTGTTTCATAATTAGTTAATAAAGTGAAGCCATTTTAAGATCCCCAGTATAGAGCATCTCATTACACCAAGACGTCTGCTGTTATCCATGAAACTGACACTATATCCGAATGTGAGTCTGAGTCCTGATAACATTATCAGTCTCTACTTTCTTACTCGGCTCAGATTATACTTATTGATCTAATATTTAATTTTATTTTATGGCAATGTCCTCAAATTCATCTTGAAAGCAGGGGTATAAAAATTAATAGAAGATGGCATTGTAGTCATAATAAAAATATTTAATAAAGATAATAAAATTATTTTATTTTCTTTCATATTTTTAGTTTTACAAAATTCATACATGTTAGAATCAGATTTTAAATATAAGTGGTTAATATCTTGTTTTTTATATAATTAACTACTTTAGTCCTACTTTAACATTTTTATTTTTTTAAAAAGTAGTAGCAGCCGGGCACGGTGGCTCACACGTGTAATCCCAGCACTTTGGGAGACCGAGGCGTGCGGATCATGAGGTCAGGAGATTGAGACCATCCTGGCTAACATGGTGAATCCCCGTCTCTACTAAAAATACAAATAAATAGATAAATAAAATAAAATTAGCCAGGCATTGTGGCGGGCACCTGTAGTCTCAGCTACTTGGGAGGCTGAGGCAGGAGAATGACATGAACCCGGGAGGCGGAGTTTGCAGTGAGCCAAGATCGCGCCACTGCACTCCAGCCTGAGTGACAGAGTGGGACTCCGTCTCCAAAAAAAAAAAAGAAAAAAAAAAGTGGTAAACACAAATCGAAACAGAGAACACGTGTGTTACAGAAGGACCACTTTAAATAAGATTTTCCAAGTGGTCAGAACAGGCCTGCCTGATTTTACAGACTGATTTCTGTTTATCAAAGTTTTCCTGTGTCTATGTTAAAGAATAAATTCCATTAAAAAATCTATATATAATTTGGGGAAAAAAATTAAGAAGTGAACTCACCTACACAAAGAAGAATTCCTGACAAGAGTGGGAGCCTATTTGCATCTGGGTTGAGCCCATGCAAATACAAGCTGGCATCTTAACAAGTGCATTTATCTTTGACAACTGACTACAGGACTTACACAGACTTTGGGTATAAGGATTCCTTTTCACAAGCTTAGGAAAGCATTTTGTGGCTCATTTGAGATGCACTTGGCTATGTAGAGGCACTTCTTTCAGGGAAGATATATTTGGATTTGAATTTTAAAGGATGGTGAATATTTTGGCAGAGGTAAGGAATGGGGCAATTTTAAGGGAAGGAAATATCCAGGATATAGGCATAATTGTCTCATAGGGCTGTCCATGTGACCAGTTGTAGTGCTGTGGATTGTAAGACTTGGGGCAGACACTGATAAGTGAATAGACTGTGAAGGAAAGGTGTGATAGGTGTATTGATGGAGGGGAAATGCAGGGACCTGGAGGACACTTCCTGCCGACTGGGAGGTGGTGGTGGGGAGATAGTCAAGGATACCTTCTTGGAGGAAGTGATGTACAAATTTTGACCTGAGAAATGATGGGGAGTTATACAGAAACAAAAAGGAGGAAAGAGAGGGAAGGAAGAGTATGTGCAAAGGCCGGTTGCAAGAGCGAGCAGGTAGAGGAACTGGGAGAATGTCAGTGGAAGAAATTGAATACCTTTTACTATTATGCTGTAGGATAGGTGCCTGAGGGTTGGGTAAGTAGCACTGTCTAGTACCTAGGTAGATAGATCAGGAAACCAGTAAAGAGGTCTAAACTGGACATGGAGATTCAGAAGTCAGCAGCACACAGAGGATAACTGGAGCCATGGGAATGGAGCCAAAACCCAGGCAGAAGGTGGAAGTGACCTCAGAAAGGGAAGATCCAGAGCAGTCTGTTGCCTGGGGGATGAGGAAGTGGAGATGGAGTAGATGTGGAACATTCTTTCAAGAAGTTTGGCTGTGAAAGTGGAAGGAAAAAGACTGTAGCTAGACGGGGGAATCTGGGTTCAAGGGAATTTTTTCTTTTAAGATGAGGAAGAATTTGGAGCATATTTAAATGCTGAAGAGAAAGAGCTGGGGAAGTGGGGTTGGCTGGAGATTAAAGGAGAGGGGTGGTTGAGAGGCATGAAGGTCCAGAGCATAAGGGGGCACAAGGATAGTAGATCAGGGGCCCCTCTTGGAGTTCAGCCCACGGGTGGAGGAGGAGCTGGGTGAATGTGGGCAAGAGTGTGAGTCCATGGGCAGAGGTTGAGGGGAGTCTCATTGAATGGGTTCTGTTTCTTGTGAAGTCTGCAGTCAATCTATCTGCTCAAACTCAGGGAGGAGTTGGTGGGCTGGAGGTTTTCCTTTAGGAGGTTTGAAGTAGCCACTGTGGATGGAAGGAAAAGAGCAGTCTCAGGAAGCAGAGTGGTCACTGTGCAGAGGGCTTTGTCTTCTCCCTGATTATAGCCAGGGCCAGCTGCAGACCCTAGAATAGTATTGAATCAGTAACTTTGTTCATATTGATAACTAACTTCCCAGTAGCTTAAATCTTGATTATAGTTGGTCAAATGGATTTTGAGAATTAAAAGAAAAACAACTTCCAAAAGTACTTTTTATTTTAAAATTTGTGTTATTAATAGTCATTTAAAACATTTTGTTAAAAAGTATACTTCTTCAAATGAAGATGTATGAATTCTCTTGCTGGTTGGTTGGTTTTAGACGCTCATGGTGGCTTGGATCCGAGCAAACCTCTGTGTGTACATTTCTCGAGAGCTCTGGGATGACTTTCTTGGTGTGCTGTCCTCCCTCACGGAATGGGAGGAACTTATAAACGAGTGGGCCAACATTATGGACTCCTTGACAGCAGTGCTTGCAAGAACCGTTTATGGAGTTGAGATGACAAACCTACCTCTGGATAAATTAAGTGAACAAAAGGAAAAGAAGCAACGAGGCAAAGGTATTTCTACTTTTCCAGGTTAACACCAGATGTCTAGGTCGGGGGACGAGTGTGTATTTGTATGACTAAGCAATTAATGCATGAGATTTTATAATGAACTGAACCAGCTACACAGTGTCTTCTTAATAGTGGCATTAATTCGTGTCTCATATCATTCTGTTCCCTTAATGAGATGGTGAATTTCTGAGGAGGCTGTGCAAAAAGGAAGATGCAAGGAAGGTAGTAGTAATAGTAGTGATAACTAACAGTAATAATAATGGCTATTACATTGTACATATTATCTCTTTTTGCCTTCATAATAACCTAGTGAACTATAGATACTTGTATAATCCCCATATCACAGACAAATAAACTGAAGTATGAGACTTTGCAGAGATGTCCAATCCTTTGGCTTCCCCAGGCCACATTGGAAGAATTGTCTTGGAGCACACATAAAATACACTAAAACTAACGATAGCTTATGAGCTAAAACAAACAAACAAAAAATAGCAAAAAAAAAAAAAAAATTCTCATAATGTTTTAAGAAAGTTTACACATTTGTGTTGGACTGTACTCAAAGCCATTCTTGGCTGCATGTGGCCCATGGGTTGGGCCACGGGTTGGTCAAGGTTGCCTTTCAGTGATTGACTCATCTGAGCCCACATAGTTAAGAAGTGGTTAGAAAATCAAAGCTGGATAAATACAACTCAAGATGTCATACAATTAAGATGCATTCTACAGCCTCTCTAGGAAACATGGAGAAATTCTGAATGCTTCAGATGGGAGCTATTTTGGCTTTGTTGTATTTCTGGGTAAAAATTGTTTTGGGACTGAGAACCTCAAATGAAAGTGATGTTTTCAAGGTACAAAACATCAGTGGTAGTTTCTGTTAGGAATGACAATTTGGCATCCGCTTGTCTTAATTACCATTCTTAAGGATGTGGCATGGTCCTTAGATTAATTCACTTTTACTACACCATACTCTGTAAAGATTTGAGGCCGGGCACAGTGGCTCAAGCCTGTAATCCCAGCACTTTGGGAGGCCGAGACAGGCAGATCACGAGGTCAGGAGATTGAGACCATCCTGGCTAACATGGTGCAACCCTGTCTCTACTAAAAACTACAAAAAACTAGCTGGGCGAGGTGGCGGGCGCCTGTAGTCCCAGCTACTCGGGAGGCTGAGGCAGGAGAATGGCGTAAACCCGGGAGGCAGAGCTTGCAGTGAGCTGAGATCCGGCCACTGTACTCCAGCCTGGGCGACAGAGGGAGACTCCGTCTCAAAAAAAAAAGAAGATTTGAGGCAGCTCTTAAAAAGGCATATAGTACAGTAGATCAAATACAAAATAGAATCAAAATGAGTGGGGTTGCAGGGAACTGCTGTTGTGACTAAAATGCCAAAATACATGCCATAGAGTCTCATGGACTTGCTGGGGAGATGGAAAAGTCAAACATTGGATTTGATTTTGGTCTTTGCAGGGTTACATCAAATCAGGAATCACAGAGCACATAGGGTAAAAACAATTCAATCACTTAGGTGATGCTTAGCTTTATTACGTCCTCCTGAGACTTGGGAGGAATTTTTCCTTCAAAGCCCCATAAAGGGTACACATTGCTTATTGTGTAGACTACCTCTTTAATAATACCAGCCTTATTATAGATTGTATCAGTGTGCTTTTGCCATGTGACAAATCACCCCAAAACTTATGGCTTAAAATAACAACCACTTATTTATCTTGATTTGATGAGTTGGCAATTTGGGTTGGACTCAGCCAGTCAGTTCTTCTGCTGGTCTTTGCTTCTGTGTTTGCAGTCAGCCAGGCTGTGAAGTAGTCAGCTAGGCAGCTCTACTTTTAGGGGTTGGCTGGCTGTAAGGGGGGGCAATGAGGTGTGACTGGGCCACGTGTTTCAGCAGCCAGAGGCTAGCTCAGGCTTGTTCACCAAGTGGCTTAGAGTTTCAGGAGCAGCAAGAGGGCAAGCTCAAATTTTCAAGTGCATTTCAAGTCTCTGCTTATTCAGTTTTGCTACCAAAGTAAGTCACATGATGAAGCCTAATGTCAATATGGGAGAGAACAACAGAGGATGTGGATACAGGGAGGTGTGACCCAGTTACGGTGGCTAGTAAACCATATACATGTGTAATAAATGTGATGGATTCTTATAATATCTTCATTGAAATCTGAGAATGGCTTGCCAAAGCACTAATTAATAAAAGCAAGTTAGTAAGAAGCCAAAATAAAGTAGTTGAAGTACATGGCAATCCAGTGGAACAGTTTAATCCCAATGTAGATTTAGACTGTCTAATGCAATGATTTTATAACATTTTTTAACAGATCCGTTTTTCTCCCCAGTTGAAGGTATACATAACCCCTTTCTAAAGAAATAGACTGGAGATTTGGGATTGAAGTAGGAGCAGGGAGCCAAGAACCTGGGTCCTTGGCCTCCATCTAGTCCTCTCTAACAGCTCTGAGGACCTCTGTGTAAACACAGGGCCTGAGAGGACCCAGATACTTCCAACTAGGAACTTGGCTCCCTAAGACAGTGGTTCTCAGCCCAGAAGAGAACTTACCTGGCTAAGAATACCTTTCAGGCTAGAGAAGGAGAGCTGAAATAAGAGATAAGGACCTACCTTCAATTGTAATCCATGCACGAGTGCACGTTTGTGCATGCGCGCGCGCACGCGCACATGCACACCTGCCATTCTGCAAGATTCTCTTCCTACCCACAGATTCATCTGAAGAGATAGACTTGTCTTGGGAAGGCAAACAACTTCAAAAACACTGTTTTCAAAATGTACTGAACAAATTATTAAATTAATGACCGTGACTAATATTTCTGATTTATGTTGGTTTATTCTAAAAAGGATTTAAATATTTATTGTAGAAACACTTGCCTTCTAAGGGCTAGACTACTAGAAACAAAAAACACAGGCAGAGGAAACTGGGTGTGGAAACATGCCACAGGTGGCAGCCACTGGCCACATCATACCTGTGCAGAAATCTCTAAGTCTGCCATTCTCTTTCCTTCTCTATTTCTTTTGGTCCATAGTCTCTCATTGAAATAATTAACCAGAACAATATGAGAAAAAAGAAAAGTTGAATCTCAGACTACGTGTTTTATTGTTTTGGACCTTTGCTAAAATAGGATTTTGTATTATTTATAGATTTTCATTATCCTGCCCATTTAACTGAATCCACATTAGAGTTTATAGGCATGGATTGCCCTGGGGATTTGTGGAGGGGTTGGTGTCTACAGGATGCAGTACTATTCAAACATCAGGATCTCTGAGGTTTTGGCTTATAAGCAGTGGTTTTTGGAGTGTCCTGGGAACAGTAGTATAACTTCATTTGATATTGTTCTTGTATTGAGAAAGGTTTATTAATACATTCTTTTGTATGCTGGAGTGAGTACTATGAAGATATGATAATATTCCTAAGACTGTTTTATATTCTTGAAAATATTTTGGCAACAAGAATTCTTAAATTAGTGACATGTGAACAACTTCCTAAATTGCAGTGTAAGGAAGTGGTACTTAATTTGTGACAAGAAAACCTGCTGATTATATATAGTTGTGTGTACACCATTTGCTGAGCAACACAAGCTGCGAAATGAATAATAATGAATTCAGCCTTTAGATTATTTTTCTTGTCCTTTATCAGGCTGTGTTCTAGATCCTCAGAAAGGAACCACTGTGGGGAGATCCTTTTCTCTCAGCTGGCGGAGCCACCCAGATGTGACCGAACCGATGCGATTTAGGAGTGCCACCACGTCTGGAGCACCGGGAGTGGAAAAGGCGAGAAATATTGTTCGCCAAAAAGCAACTGGTAAACATTTATTTAAATGCTTCTCAAAAATCTAGTTGTTATCTAAAATGAATTTATAGGCATAAGGTGTGTTAAAAATTCTACTCAAAATTTAAATATTAGACCTTATATTAAATGAAATGTCTCTACATCTTTTTAGCTTTCTGCTGTGGTTACTTTTCAAATCACCGTTTTCAGTTACTTATTTCTAAATCCTCCATTGTGAAAAAGAACTTGAGATGTTAATGTTGAGTGAGATATTTGTACGAAATAGAGAAAATAGAGGTTTTGTTTGAACCTTGAAGAAAATAGATTGTTAATAAATACACCAGTAGTTGCATTATTGTCAGTGTTAAACCATGTTAATCTTTAGAGTGTGGCAACCTGTTTCAGCAAAGAAAAGGAGAATTATACGCTTTAGTTTTCAGGACTGGATAGACATTTTCATTTTTTGCTCCTTTGGAAAATTGAGCCTTTTCATGTCTGTGTATGTTATCTTTGCAGCCTATTTCCATTAGCAACTTGACCAACAACCCCCAGTTAATTGGACTACTTGCTACATTTTACTCTTTTTTTCTTTTTTTGTTTTTTGAGACAGATTCTTGCTCCAGGCTGGAGTGTAGTGGTGCAATCTCAGCTCACTGCAACTGCTGCTTTCTGGGTTCCAGCAATTCTCCGGCCTCAGCCTCCTGAGTAGCTGAGATTACAGGCGCCCCACCATGCCCAGCAAATTTTTGTATTTTTAGTAGAAACAGGGTTTCACCATGTTGGTCAGGCTGGTCTCAAACTCCTGACCTCGTGATCCGCCCGCCTCGGCCTCCCAAAATGCTGGGATTACAGGCGTGAGCCACTGTGCCCAGCCTACATTTTACTCTTAAAACAAAAAGTGAACTCTTTAAAAAGAAGCTTGTATATGGCATTTAATAAGAATAAACAAAGCCACCTCGTCCCCAGTGGCTTTGAGCCTGTAACTTAGGTTTAAGACAATTGTAATTGATAATTTAGCATGTTGACTTCAGAAAGTCGCAAGATCCTCTGGCCATAAAACAAAGATTCATTAAGGCTCAACATATTCTATAGTGCTTAGTAAGGCTTAATACAGATAGTTTAGAATCCTGTTGGAGTTTTTATGAAAATATATTCCACCTTAACTGTAACTCTCTCATACTTTTTTGCTGTAGCATTTGCTGGAAATTATCACCTTATTTACATGCACGGCCTCTTCTGCTTCTTCCTTCTTTCTGTCATTCTCTCCCCTGAGGAGAGACCCAATTCATTTTTAAAAGCAGGCAACTTTTGAGGATGCTCATTCACTGATTTCCTTTCTCATTCCAATTCCTAAAAACTATTTGCTTTTATCTTTTTTTTTTTTTTTTTTTTTTTGAGTCGGAGTCTCATGCTGTCGCTCAGGCTGAAGTGCAGTGGTGCGATCTCAGCTCACTGCAACCTCCGCCTCCCAGGTTCAAGCGAGTCTCCTGCCTCAGCCTCCTGAGTAGCTGGTACTACAGGTGCGCACCACCATGCTCAGCTAATTTTTGTATTTTTAGTAGAGAAGGGGTTTCACCATGTCGGTCAGGCTGGTCTCGAACTCCTGACCTCAGGTGATTCACCCGCCTCGGCCTTCCAAAGTGTTGGGATTAACGGACGTGAGCCACTGCACCCAGCCTACTGGGAATTCGAATAGGCAAAGGGTAGGAGAAAGGGCAGTAGGGTAAAAAGTTTGTTTCAGTTTTTACAAATGTGTCACTATCATTTGTAGTTCCATTTCGTTAATGTTAACTGATATCATACAAAAATAGTAAAGCAGCAAGTGAATCTTTGTTTTTGTTTTAGAATAAAACTGATTTTACAGATTGTGGTTTTACATATATGAAGCACGTTTTCCTCCTGTGTTCATTCAATTCCTCCAATGTTTATTTGACTAGCAGTATATAGAAAACATAAGAATACCGTGAAGTAGACACTAAAGATGTATGGATTTAATAAACATGAAATGTGACATAAAAGGATGGGTTTCATGGAGATTTTACCTTTTCCTCAAATATCAAATCTTTTAATGTTCAACTTGACTTTTATGTGTTCTTGAGCTTTTTGGTTATTTAATTTACTAAATGATTTGCTTTTGAATACAGTCAGCTCTCAGCAAACCAACTTCTGAATGAAGGGCAGATATTCCCTCTCTCACCATGGTCTTTTTGTATTTGTCCTTTAGGAAAGGAAAACTGATTATAATGTCTGTCCAAGCAAATAACCTGAATGTGAATCTGATACACAGCAGAAAGAAGGAAAGGCTAAACATATAAAGCATTTCAAAATAAAATTATTTGTGGATTGCCCATTGTCCTATGTCATGAGAATGACTGACTGAAAGTTGGCTGTATTTAGAGACAACAATTAAATACTATACTTTGTACTGACCTCCTTTAAAGTTTAAAATGACCTCCTTTAAATGTTTAAAGAGAGCCCAGAAAAGTAATGATAATAAATTGAAAGGTCCTATTGTTCTTCTGACATAATTATTACTTTATCTCTCCTGGAAGCTAAGCGAAGCCAGTCTATCAGCAACTGTGTCCACCTTTCTGAGGCTTTGCCTGCCACTAAAAGCGTCCCGCTCCTCCTTCACACCGTGAGCGCTCTCTTACCTGGTCTCTCTTACTCTTCTTGCTCTCACAGGCTGTCAGGTACTGTAACACTGTCTCATGTGTCCATCACTGTTCCCGGGCTTCTCCGGCTTGCCTCTGGGACTTGCTTCCTTTGTTAATATCCCCACATGACACACGTGCCTCACCATTACAGTAGTGTTAAATTGCAATGAATACTAGTAATTACTTTTGTGTAGTTAGATGCTTGGTGGCAATTAGATAGTCAAGAAAAATATCTGTAACTTTGGTCTTGGCAATAACAATTAAAGAGGATAGAAGGGTTTTTAAGTCCATAGCTATTTAATAGGGGGAAATGTGATGCCTGCCTTAGTGTGTCTTCTATACAGTACCCATAGAAAGTAAGGGGATTTTCATAAAAGTTTTGAACATGTCAGTATTAGAATGCTTGCTATGCCTTCCAAAAAATGAATAAACTAGAAAAATGTATGTAGGCGGGATCTACTTGGAGTTAATAAATCATATATGTGAAGTAATGACCAGTTATGTGGATTCATACGGACTATTGAAATTTGAGTGAAAAAGGACCAGTGCCAAAAAGCAGTAATTTCCAAAACAAAGAAACGTTGTTCTTGTACTTCAGCCAATTAAAATTGAATTTAGCCATGTGTGATTTACACACAGTACCTTTTTTATTACGACATCATACCACCAAAAGTCATTTTTGGCCTAGTTACTTCAACCGAAGAATTTACCTTTCTCTATATTGAATAATTAGGTCTATGTCTATTTATATTTCAGTGATTCTAGGATGAACTGAATCTTCTTCCTTAAAAGAGAAAGATCATTTTCATGATCTTTTTTGTTTTCAGAAATCTGGCATTGTAGATTAGTATTTTTTGTTGTTGTTGTTTTTGATTTTTTTGAGACAGAATCTCTCTCTGTCACCCAGTCTAGAGTACAGTGGCGCAATCTCGGCTCACTGCAACCTCTGCCTCCCGGGTTCAAGCAGTTCTTCTGCCTCAGCCTCCCGAATAGCTGGGACTACAGGTGTGTGCCACCACACCTGGCTAATTTTTGTGTTTTTAGTAGAGATGAGGTTTCACCATGTTGGCCAGGCAGGTCTTGAACTCCTGACCTCGTGACCCACCCGCCTCAGCCTCCTAAAGATTCGTATTTTTTTTTTTTAACACTGGAGATAACCTAATTGTGGCTTTCTGTAATACTAAATTATGTCATACCGTGTTTTAGCAAAGCAAAATGAAAGCTTAAGTTCTCTGATGGCTATGTAAATACCATATTACTTTATAGAATTTAGGGGAAGAAGTTTTACCAAGAGTGAGGACTATAATGTTTCTTAGAAAACTCTTTTTCTCCAGTAACTATTAAATGAGAAAAACAGTAAGAATGGTACATGGGAAAATGGTCACTAGTCAATTAAATTACTGTTGAGTTTAACTGCCCGATTATTTGGTTTTCAAAAAAAAGCTATTGTTTAGAGATGATTAATAAAGTATTTAAAATCATTGTACCCCCTGTTTGGCTAATATACACCCCAAATGAATTTTTTCATGTTGATAAGTTTTCTCATGTCACAGTCCATTTTTTTCTATATTTTGTTTCTCTTAAGTTTTTCCCTAGTTTGTCCAGAACATGTTCCCACAAGAAATCTCTTCCAATTAGTGATTTAATTTTGGAAGCTTTTGTTCTCATTCAATATTACATTTTATTTTACTAAGACTCTTGGTTCCTGTATATATGTATACAGTTCCAAATGAATGAAGTTAAATGTGATTTAGAGCAGTGGTTCTCAATTGGGGACAATTTCAACAATGCCAGGAGACATTTTTAATTGTCACACGTGGGACAGTGCTAGTGGCAGCTTGTGGGTGGAAGTCAGGAATGCTGCTGAATAGCTTGCAATGCACAGGACAGCTCCCAAATGAAGAATTGTCTGGTCCAAAATACCAGCAGTGCCGAGGCTGAGAAATCCTAACTTAGAGTGAAATCAAGTGGCCTGGACTTGGTCTGAGTTTTCCTGCCTTTGCCATCTTTGTTCTTGATTTTGTAGCACAAAGGGTAAAAGAACTTCAGAGTACAGTGACTTTGAGAACAACCTGCCATTTTCTTTTTCACCTGACAACTATGATAGTGAGCTTCTTAGCCTGAGGCCATTGGTTCTTTACTACTTAAAATGATGCCATTGTCCTTTATGACTGTCCTATCCAGAGACTGACCCAAGGGCAGATTGTATATTCTCCGCTGGTTGGCACGTTAGAGTATTGAATTTGCCCTCCAGTTTAAATCCTAGTGTGTAGGCATATCCCATCAACCTACTGCTAGATAATGTAACACTTAATTTTACTTTCTGGCCACAAGTTCTTTACCCTATCAATGATTGCTAATTTTGTTTACATTTAAGTTAACTTTTTTTGTTTTTGTTTCTAATCTATATGACTAGTCAACCCACCAAAATTGTTTTAATAATATAAGCAATAGACACTTACTTTTAGCTATGATTGTATCATTTTCTGATCTTTTTGGGACTGTATTTGGCGGCAGCAGCAGAATTTTGGGTGGGTTGTTTGTATTCTGGGAGGAAGAAGTGATGTTTGTATTTTGGAGTCACAACCAACTGTTTCCATTAACATGAACAGCTACATAAAGAAATAGAGTTGGGGAGGTAGGACTGGCACTTTTTGTGATTTCCTTTCCCCCCACCCCTTGGTGAGAACAGTTCTTTCCAGCTGTTCTATAATTTTTTTTTTTGAGATGGAGTCTTGCTCTGTACCTCAGGCTGGAGTGCAGTGGTGTGATGTTGGCCCACTGCAACCTCCACCTCCTGGGTCCTGGTTCAAGCATTTCTCCTGCTTCAGCCTCCCAAGTAGCTGGGATTATGGGCACGCCATGCACAGCTAACTTTTTGTATTTTTAGTAGAGATAGGGTTTCACCATGTTGACCAGGCTGGTCTTGAACTCCTAACCTCATGATCTGCTCGCCTCGGCCTCCCAAAGTGCTGGGATTACAGGCGTGAGCCACCACGTTCTGTCTGTTCTACAGTTTTAACTGCTTTTTAGGTTGAAACGTTTATCAATCTGTAGCACTTAATAGGCCATACAGATGGTAGATGTTATTTTTCTTTTAGGAATATTGTAATAGTAGTAATGAGAGTACTGTAATGAGAGTAATGTAATCAACAATCTCCCCTTATTCTAATAAAACATACTGGAATGGTATGGCAAACCTTGCCTCGCTCCTTCTGCATCTGGTTTGTGTGCTTCTAGGAAGTGCTTTGTTGTCAGGACCTGGTCTGATTTACCCATGGGAAGTTTGATCTTGTGGGAAGCTTCAAGATGCTGAGTTGATATGCATTTCCTGTGCTTTTTATAGGATCAGATTGGTATCATTCATGGTGTTTTCAAAATTAGGAAATTATATTTATTTTGCTTATGCAACCTTGTACAAGGGATAAATGGAACTCAGAATTTTGGTTATTGAAGAATGAGCCTCACTGCACTTACTAAATGTAAGACTGATTAATGAAGCCTTAAAAAGTGAGTGAAATTGCTATGAAAAATAGTTAGAGATCTGGAAAAAAATAGAAGTTACTGAAGAGCTTACACACTTAATTTAATTTGATCGCACTGCCTTTCTCAGTGAAAAAAACCTGAAATTTAGTAATCCTTATTTGATCGTTTTCAGGTGATTTGAATGGAGCTTTAGAAAGTGATAGTTTAGGCCGGGTGCAGTGGCTCACGCCTGTAATCCCAACACTTTGGGAGGCCCAGGCAGGCGGATCATGAGGTCAGGAGATCGAGACCACCTTGGCTAACATGGTGAAACCCCATCTCTACTAAAAATACAAAAAATTAGCCGGGCATGTGCCTGTAGTCCCAGCTGCTCGGGAGGCTGAGGCAGGAGAATGCTATGAACTCAGGAGACGGAGCTTGCAGTGAGCTGAGATCACGCCGCTGCACTCCAGCCTGGGCGACAGCGCGAGACTCCATCTCAAAAAAAAAAAAAAAAAAAAAGAGTTTAGTAATGGTATTGTGTAACTTACACTGTCAAGAGATGAGAAAGTGCTTTTAAAATCTGGGCAGTTGGGACTAGCTAGGCTTTAGAGAGAGTACCTTATTTGGTGAATCTGAGATAGAACTTAGCTCTTTGAAGTGATTTAAACAAATTACGTGACATTCAAAAATAGATCTAGGATTTATTATGTAATTTTAATGTAACTGATAAAATTCTTTCTCTATTTTAAGTATCAGATAATCCTGTCTTTTGGTATTTGCATATCACTGTTAAAATGATTTTCATTCGTTATGACAGAGCAACTGCTAACAGCTGACCCCATAGAATGAGAGCAGCTTTAACATAAATTGCTCTTTCTTAAATAAAATGCCAGCAGAGGGAGCCCAAGAACTATTTAAAAAGGAAAAATAGTAGAAAGAAAATGTTTCTGTCATTCATGTGTTCATTTATACAAAACATGTATTTAATATAAAGTATGAGAAAATCCCAATAAATATACCATTACAAATCAGGAAATTGGGTTTAAATTGTGGGATAAGGAGAATTGAAAATTCTCTTTTTACAGCGTCTCAATTGATAGTCAACTACAGGAGTAGCTCAGGGCACCTACAACACAACAGCACACTGAAGCATCATGGCTCTCCCCTTCCTTCCCACTCAATCAGGAGTGCTCCCGCCCTGCCACTGACTGCTATTCCTAAAGGCTTGGACTTTCTCCATCTGATAAGTCCCTCCTGACAGTTTTATAAAAACAAAGCCTTAAAAGCTGCACTAGGCCAGCCTGTTGGGAAGGCAGACCAGCTGGTGGTGGCAGGCTCTTCATCCGTCTGCTGCGTTGAGGACCAGTGGGGACACTCTAATTTGGAAGCAATGGTGCTGTGGCTATATTTCATCCCACCAGATGGCGATGTTCTTTATCTTTAGGCAGATGCTGCCAGTGTTGGCTCAGCCCTTATTTGCTCCTGCTCATAGCCCAGAAACCAACATCTATCCGTTTTTGGCATCAGGCTTCAGAGACTAACTCTTCCCACTATCCATAAAAAATGGCATTTGCCAATTATATTTTAGAAAGTTAGGAAGCTCTTGGGCTCCCCCTACTGATACTGGATTAACCAGTAGATTCATTAACAAATACAAACTCTTCCCAGAAGGTTTCAACATCCTGCATAATTAGAATAAACAATTAGAGAAGACAGCCGGAAGGGCTGCCCCTATGGTGTTATTTGCCTTCTGTTGCTGAAGGCTGAAGAGGCTAGAAATAGATCTGTGAGAAGGACGTAGTCTATACTTTGGGATGTGTAGGTAGATTAAAAATTTGCACATACGCTTTGTGTTTCTCTATAGAAAAATGAACAGTACTTGGCTGTTCAAAAGAAGAGGAAGGCAAAGACAACCTGGGAACACATGAGGCTTTAACGTATCTGTCTTTTCTTGCTACGTTGGCCTATCTTTGCTTGTACTCCAAACACAGTTTCCCACCAGCATCTCAAGTTAGACTATGGGCTGGGCACCATGGCCTATGCCTGTAATCCCAGCACTTTGGAAGGCTGAGGTGGGTAGACTGCTTGAGACCAGCCTAGGCAACATGGCAAAACCCCGTCTCTGAAAAGACAAAAATTTTTTGGGTATAGTGGCATGCACCTGAACTCCCAGGTATTCAGGAGGGTGAGGTGTGAGGATCAGTTGAGCCAGGGGAGGTCCAGTGTGCAGTGAGCTGTGATCACACCACTGCACTCTAGCCTGGCAACAGAGCAAGGCACTGTCTTTAAAAAAAAAAAGTAAATTGATAAATTTTTGTAAGTGAAGGATCACACAAATTTCATAGTTTTGAGGTCTTGTAACCATATCAGCATACTATAAAATGCATTTTCATTTGGATAGAAACAATAAAACAGAAACCCTTTGTTGAAATTGTCTGTATTAAATTTAGAATCTTCCTACATACTTCTTGTTTAAGATGAGCCATCAGTTTGCCTTATGACTTAGATTAAAGGATTATACAGAGGGTGGCCAATTGGCAGTGAGTTTCCATTTCAGGTGACAAACCAAGTGACCCAGCCAGTTAAGATAATACAGGATGAGTTTTGATCATTCTCTTCTTAGTAGTAGTAATGAGCAGATGAAAAATTTTGGAAAAGACTTTATTCTAGTTATGTGGGTATAAAGTTTTATGACTACGTCAGTGAGTGTGGAATCTAGTGAGAAACAGAGCTATGGGGCTTACATGCAGGGCCAGGGAGCAAGTCCTGTAGGGGATATTCCCAGGGCAGCACGGCAAGGAGGGATGAGGGAGCAGGTTTGCCTTTATCATAGGGGAGTGAACAGCAGGAAGAAGAGAGTAGTAGCAGGTGCCAACTGGGTTAGTACTACTGGAGACTAAAGTGAGCTAGAGTACTTTGCAAGCGGATCAGTATGTCCTGTGAGATCAAGGAAAGCCCATATTCACCCTGACTAGCATGTTTGACAACTCTCTAACAAGAGAGGGCTTTGTTGGGTTTTAAGAGGAGTGGCACAGCCAGATCTTTATTTTAGAGGGACCATGGAGAGGATAAATATGAAGGTGGTAAGAAGAGGGGGACAGTGATTAGTGATTAGTTAGCAGACTGTTACAACAACCTATGTAAAAGGTGGTGCAACCCTGAAGCTGTGACTCTAGACAGAGAGGGTGGGGTGATAATTCCAGTGCCTTGGGTGGTCTTTAGAGATTAAAGTGTACTGTGCAGTTTAGAAATGAGCTGGGGGGAACTCATTCTCTAGGGGAAACTCATTCTCTAGGGGAATATAGCTTGTAACAATACTGAGATTATCCTGTGGTCCCTACCCAGCTATGGTTTTCTATTTTATGTCTCTTACATATTGTTTTTCTACAAATACCTGTGGATCATTCTGTACTTTAGAGAATAATTCAACATTGCATTTGATGAAATAAGCCATTATATCACTATAGCATTTTATTTTGGACAGTTGGGCACTTACCTGTTAAAAAGGAATAATGCAGTAGAAATTTCCACGTTTCCTTTCATCTTCCTTTAGGGTGTGTGTGTGTATGTGTGTATGTGTGTGTGGTTTTTTGTTCTTCTCAAATGTACGTTATTCATTCTGTGCATCTCCTAGATCTCTCTTTCCTTGGCATGCCTGGCCCTGAAATTCCAAATGACTTTTACAGTTCTTAACTTATTATTGTGGCTTTTTTCCTTTACTTTGATTGAAAAATAAACGACCTTATAGAACTTAAGTGGAAAATGTATTCTTGGAGTAGAATATTAGGGGTTAGTAAGTGTAGGAAACTTGACGGTATAAATGCAGATTATCTGACTATAAATTATTTGTGAAAAGCATTTGAAACTTTATTTTTTAAATCGGTTGTTTTAAGTGGTGAATGTGTTTTTAAAATCTTGAACTGTAACCTTGCATGTTTTGTGTTAATGCTAACAGAAGTAGAGGAGTGTCAACAGTCAGAAAATGCATCTGCAGCCGGATCTGTCTATCTCACGGTGGGACAGCAGCAGCAGGTCCTTCGGAGCAGTAGCACCTCCGACATCCCTGAGCCGCTGTGCTCAGATTCTTCTCAGGGTACGTGGTATATTCAGTAATTAATACAGAACTATAGATTCTGGCAGAGGAATAAAAGCTACATATAGTATTGCTTTGTACATGTATTCTAAATATATTTGTTTCAAGGGAATTACCTTTTTAATTTGGAAGGATGTGATTTATGTCAATGAAATATTTGCACTATTTAAACATGTTTATCTAAATTATTTGTATGTATCTGTATGTAGATATATACCCACTTTTTTAATGGTTGGCATGTTTGAGGACTAGACAGGAGTCCAAGTGGCCAGAGTAGAAGGAAGACAGAGACTGTTACAACATGAAGTCAAGTAGGGCATCAAATTAGGTATTATAGAAGGCAGAGAGGCAGGATGGGGGCAGGGACGTAGGGAAAGGGCTGTGAGAAGAGCCGTTAAAGTTGAAAATGAGAATGGAAAGCTGACCAGACTTGTGAAAAAGTTTATTAGCAGCTTACCGACTCTGCTGAGGTTGAAAATAATAACTTTTAATAGCATTAATCTACACGGTTTCACCAACAACTTGCAGCAACAACAGGGTGTGGAAAGCAAGGAGACAGATGGTTTGACCTGTAAACAGTGGATGATAGATTTGTCAGTGAAAGTGTGTGCTTAAAGTGTGTCTAGTGGACATAGTTACTCTGTTTTGGTGTCATGAATTAATTAAGAAATCAACCCTACATATCAACAAGTTATCTCATATCTTTTAATGTCAAGGTCATGCTAGTCTCATCAGATGAGTAGAGAATTATTCTCTCTTAGAAATCCTCTGGAAATAAGAAAATACAGAAAAAGCTTCAGAAAATGTATTATCTGAAAGGTTTTTGAAAGGTTTTATATAAGACTATTATTTTTTTTTCGTACATATTTGGTAGAAACTACCAGTTGCCTAGATTTTTCTTGTAGGAATGTTTTAAATTATCATTTAAATTTTAAGAAAATTTCAATTATGGAGGAGGAATAAGTTCAAGAGATCTGTTGTACAATATAGTGACTGTAATTTGTAACAGTGTATTGTATTCTTGAAAATTGCTGAGTAGTTTTAGTGTTCTCACCACAAAAAAGAATGTGATACATATTAATTAGCTTAATTTAGCCATTGCACAGTGTATACACACATTTCAAAACAACATGTTATACACATTACATTAATACAATTTTTATATGTTAAGTTAAATTTTAAAAGTTAAAATAGTTATAGGACGATTTAGATTTTCCTTTTCTTGTTTTGACTTTGATAAATTATGTTTTTCTAGAAACTTACTCATTTTTTTTTCAAATTTATTGGTCCCAGATTATTCATAAAATCCTCTTATGATCAGCTTTAGTGTTTTCAGGCTTTGTGGTGATATTCCGTTTTTTATTACTGAAACTGGTTATTTGTGCTCTCGTCAATCTTTATTCTCAAGCAATACTGAGACACCTTACTGCTCTCTTCTTCCTGTTGGTTCATCTGGCCAACACAGGCACCTTTTCTCTGAGATACCTTCCCCAAGACCCCAGGAAGGGTTTTTGTTGCCCTTCCCTGTGCACACATAAATGCACTAAGTGAACCTGTTGGCCACAGTGAACAGTAATCAATCCACTCTCTTCATAGCTCTCTGTGGGCCAGAGACCAGGTCTAAAGTATGGGCTTGACCCATAGGCTGCTGTTTTGCCAGGCCCTTAACTCCTGTTTTTACATATCTTAGAATGTTTAAATTTAATAGTTACCTATATATAAAATCATTTTCCAGTTTTATTATCTGAAACATTCCTTCTACCTATTTCCACTACCCCCCTGCCCCACCATTTCTAGGTCAAAAGGCAGAAAACACACAGAATTTGAGTTCTTCAGAGCCTCAGCCTATTCAAGAGAATAAAGGACATGTGAAGAGAGAACATGAAGGAATAACAGTAAGATATTTTCAAACCATTTCAGTTTCTCATTAAAAATAAACATTAATTAGTGGTCAGTAAGTAAATTTATTGATGGCAGTGATAATTAAAATATTTTTTCTGTTTAGACAGTTTATAGGCTCAAATGATGTTGAGATCTTTTAAGATTTTGCTTGCTTTCTATGTAAAATTACAGTCACATTACAAAAATAGGAAAAAAATTAACATGAAAATGGAGTTCAACAGCTGGTCTGTGTATGGCACTATATATTTTTAAGCAGTTACCTTTGCCTGCTAAACCTGTGTTTCAGATTCCCCATTCCTGATATCAGTTTAGGTAGCCTCCACCTGACATGAGTTACTAGAATCAGTGAGTATTCACAAAGATGTTAAGTTTCTTTAAAAAAATAAAATAAAATGGCATTTATGTAAATATGTGTAAAGTATAAAGAAGAAAATTAAAACATAAGCCCATAACTCATTCATGTAGATAACCCCTATTCATTTTTTTTTAATGTAGCATATATTCTTTGAAAAGTCAAACATCACAGAAAGATACACAATAAAAAAGGGAGAGCCTCTCCTTGCTCCCCTCCCTCTGGACAATAACCCATGTTAAGTTTCTTTTTTCTTTATTTTTAAAAAGGGCATGTACTGGTTTACATCTGTATATTCTGTTTTCAACAATGAAATAAATACCCAGAAACCCACCATCAGCTTCAGATCATTTTGGCTTCTACGCTCCTTTCTTGTTCCTTCTCTCTGCTGGCTCCCCTCAGAGAGTGGCCTTATCTTGGCTTTGTGTTCATTATCCCCTTGCCTTGCTCTATAGTTTTGCTATATAAGTATGTATCTCTAAACAGGATATTCTTTAGTTTTCCTTACTTTTGAATTTTTTAATAAAGTATTGTTGCTTTGTTTACTCAGTTACATATTTTTAAGATTTATTCACGTTGTGCCATGTAGCAATAGTTCAAGTTTTCTGTGATGTGGTATTCCACTATAAGTAGACCACAATTTATTTTTTCATTCTCTTGTTGGTTGATGTTTAGATTGTTTCCAGCTTTTTGTTTTTGCGAAAACTGTAGCCACGTACATTCTTGTATGTGTTTCAGTATCTGCATGTTTAATGTTTTCTCTATGATGGCTATCTAGGAACAGAATTAATGAATTATATAATAAAAGAATGTTCTTCTTTATAAGATAACCCCTGTTCTCTAAAGTGGTTGCATCACTTATATTTTAGCCAGCATTGTGTAGAGCCACCATTGATCTGCATTCTTGCCAACACGTTCTATTATCAGATTTTTTCATTTTTATTGGTCAACTGGGTGAAAATAAGATGTCTTATTTTGCGTTTCTTAGACTACTAATAAGGTTAAAAATCTTCCTATGTGTTTACTGGCCATTTTTCTTTCATCTGTGAAATGCCTACTGATGTCTTTGGTTGTTTTTCTATTGTTTGTCTTTTTCTCTTTATTTATATTTACTAGTTCTTTGTACGATCTGAGTACTGATCCTATTTTGTTTATGTTTGTAGCAAATATCTTCTTCCAATATATGGTTTATATTTTTACTTTATGGTATCTTTTGATGAACAGAAGTTCTTCATTTTGATACTCTCTATTATCATTTTTATTGTTGGGGTCTTATGGAATTTTTTAAAAGTCTCAACTAGACAGGAATAAAAATATTACCTTATATTTGTAAATGTTCCAGGTTTGCTTTACAAATTTAAGTCTTTTATCCATTTGGAATTGATTCCTGTTTATGGAGGGAGGTAGGGATCCAATTTCATTTTTTTCCTGCATAGATAACTACTTGTGTCAGGTCCTATTTATTGAATTCATTTTTCTTTATTGATCTGAAATGCCACCTCTCTTTCATATATGCTATTTCCAAGATATGTAAGGCCTCCTTTTGGTGTTTATCTTGATTCTTGGTTACTTTGTCTTTCAGACAGCACAACATCTCAGTTAATGTAGTTTTCCCACCTCTGTCTCCCTTTTCCTTCTAACGGAAGTTATTTTTCTATAATCTTTTGTCTTTCATTGTTGCTGAGAAGTCTTCTGTCCATCCGGTCCTGTCTAGTTATTGTTCCTTGCTGTTTTTGTTTATTTGTTTGTCCTTTTCCTTCCATTTCACTGTAGTATATTCAGGTGCAGGAATCTTTTGGGTTCATCTATTTGTTCTTTTTGGTATATGGTGTGTGCCATGCATCTGCAAGTGCTCGTCTTCTGTCATTTCTGGAAAATTCTTGGTAACATTTCTGCATATATTGTCTCATTTTTTCCTCATTGGTTCAGTGGTATCTCCACCTGTTACATGGGACGCTGGGGTTAAAAAAAAAAAAAGAAATGCAAATATTGCTTCTTTTATATTCTCTCTTTGCTTTCCTTCTGGAATTCTGGGTGGAAATATATTAGACTTTCCCATTCTGTCTTCCTCGTCTCTGAAATGATTTTTATATTTTCCATTCTCATTGGCTCGGTGTTTTCTGGATAATTTTATCAGCTCTGTCTTTCATCAGTTCAGTAACTGTATCTTTACTCTGTTGTTTAATACTTCCCTTGAGTTTTTTAGTTGAGCAGTTATGCCTTTTGTTTCTGACAGTTCATGTTTGTACTTTTCAAGCATATCTTGTAATTTCTAATAATCTTTTGTTGCTTGCTCGTTTTTGTGATTCCCAACTTTTATCCCTTTAAAATGTTTACAAGTTGCAATTCTGAATTTTTTATCTGATTTTCTGAAATCCTTGGGGGATCTAAGCCTGATATTTGTTGTTTCTGAGACTCTTATACATGGTGATTTATTTTCTGTAGTGTTTGATGATGATTTATTATGAGTTCCTAGCTGGCTGATCTTAATCTGCAGAAAATGTGGATTTCTAAATTGATGACATTTCAACAGCATGTTTGCATTTGTTTCTTGCACCACATGGGGAGTGCTACTTTAATCCTGGAGTCTTGGTCCTCTTGCCACTGGCAGTGGTACTATTGGATTTACCCTTGCAGTAGCCACATTTCACTGCCCTGGTTTCTGCTCACTTTTAAGGGTTGAAGGTAGATTTCTTGGAAGTTTCTTTTACTTCCCTTGAGCCCCAAATTGCAACTAAAGTTTTATGTAGGATCTGTTTCTATGGCTAGAGGATATATATACCCTCTAGATATATATCACTAGATACATATACCCTCTAGATATACCTTCTAGATATACACACTAGATGTATATCATTCTTCTTTAAGGCTGTATAATAATTTTTTCATATAGTGTTAATCCTCTAAATCTTCTAAATATTTTATTCATGGCCTGCTTTTTTTTTTTAGCTTAATAGTTATTTTTTCTTTTAATTTTTTTTCCAGTTTTGCCATGGTCAACATTTGTGGTGCATTCCTTTTTTTAACTCTACATCTTGTTCCCCCCTTAAACCTAAGGTTCAAGGCCCACAGGCAGCTGTGTCTTTTTAGAAGGTCTGCATTTCTTCTTATTTTTGTCCTTCTTCACCGGGCTTCTCTGCATGGCCTGGTATAACCAGCATCTCTTCCTGTACATAGAACTTGCTGATTACCACCCAGTACTTCCTGCCTTGAATCCTCTTCTGTCTTCCCTCTACCACTTCATGTCCATTGCCATCTTGAACAGCTCTCCTATAAAACTGAGCCAATTAAGGCAACAGTTTATTCTGTATACCTTTCAGAGACCGTTTATTTGCATATTTTGCTTATATACATTATAATTATTTTGTGTAATTTGTGTATGTTTTGTCTCTCCAAGCAAATTATAAGTTTTTAGAGGATGCAGATTGCCTCCTGATTTTTTTTAATCCTGTGAGTTTTAATACAAGGTTAAGCAATGCTCAGGAGAGTTTGTGGCATACTTAACTAGGAAGACACTGAATGAACCTTTAGAACTCTGGATGGAGTTTGTGCCTTGCCTACCAGCACACTTACCATTTGTGTGCATAACTTAATGCCTTCCTAGAGCATTCTGTTCACTATATATGTGTGCTTGACCAGAAGAACAAATAGAACTTTAAAAGAAATCTCTTGCATATAATTTGGCATTCCTTCTTAGATCAGTTTAATTGGATGTAAGTTGACAAAGTAGAGGATATAAATAAAAGTTTCAGATCTTGAGTAACATAAAGTTAAATATAGTAATTTGTGAAAATATATCCTTCAAATGGAAAACATCAATTTATTTAGCTATTATTATTGTTCGTTTCTTTTTCTTTAGAAATTTGGGCTAGAAACTTAAGTGTTATAAAAATGAAAACTTTCCTGTAGTAAGTGCAATATTTCTTTTTGTCTGAAGATTTTAGTTCGAAGAAGCAGCAGCCCTGCTGAATTGGATTTGAAAGATGATTTGCAGCAGACACAAGGAAAATGTAGGGAAAGACAGAAGAGTAAGTTCCAAGAAATGTCTGTTTCTCTGACTATAGAGTTGATATGTTCTGTTTTCTTTTTACGTTTTATTATTATTACTATTATTATTATCAGAGACACAGTCTCACTCTTTCGCCCAGGCTGGAGTGCTCTGGCACAATCATGGCTCACTGGAGCCTTAACCTCCCCAGGCTCAGGTGATCCTCCCACCCAAGCTTCCTAAGTAGCTGGGACTACAGGCACATGCCAATGCACTCGGCTAATTTTTCTGTTTTTTTTTTTTTTTTTTTTTTATAGAGATGAGGTTTCACCATGTTGCCCAGGCTGGTTTCAAACGACTGGGCTCAAGCCATCTTCCCACTTTTTACCTTCTAACTTGAGTAATAGCTTGTCAATTTGAGAGAGATGGTTGTGAAATGGAACCTTCTTATTCCTGGAATCCCAGGATTGACAAAAGATTCATCCATACATACAATAAAACAGTTCTACTCACCTGTACCTTGAGAGGCCCGTCTTTCTACCCCTGGGCCTTTCTCTAGGAGAATGGTACATCAGAGGCTGATGGCACGAGTGAGCAGATAGACCAGAGAGAAAAATTATCTTCCCCAGAAAGTTCCCAGAGGCTAGAAGCAAAAAGCATCAGAAGTACATTGAAGTTAATGGGATAAATACTTTGAAATGAAATGAGGTTGGAATCCTGAGACGTATTATCATATACTGTAAAACACAGCCTTAGTACTCCGCTTTCCTGAAGTCAAGTGCCAGAGTAGCATAGTAAACACCGTCTCAAGTTCAGAACAGTTCTTAATGGGTGCAGAGGAGTTCCACCTTCACCCTGCTGGCTTAGAGCCCTTTGGGAGATGAAGTTTGGTACCTACCATTGGTCACCTGGTTACTGAGACAACTTTCAGTTCTTTGTGGGTAAATAGAGGACAGCAGATTAGAAACAGCAAGGGTAAGGGACTATTAGGAGCAGATACAGAGAGCAGCCATAAGGGTGAGCAGACAGAGATGTAGCTGCATAAAGTTGTTATGAAGTAGACAGGAGACTTTGAGAAGCAGAACTGTCTAGGTTCATTTTATGTCAGACTAAATAGTTCTATACGTCTTCATAGCCCAGCCTTATTATATTATGACAAATTAGAACTTATTAATGTTTAAAGGGGAGAATTTCTGTTATAGAAAAATATGTTGTATTGGGACACTCTATCCCCAAATGACCCTGAATGAATCACCCTAGGTCTACGTCTACCCATCAGGCTTGGAGCATACAGCATCTTTAGACTCTTCTACCCAGTAGAGTAAGCTTGCATTTGTGGTGGATTAGTTATTATCTTCTTCCTCCACCCACCCTCATTTTGTAAGTCCCAGCACACTTTAGGACTTGGTGTAGTTTGGGTATGGGGGCACTGAGTGAAGACACATTGAAGAGTGCCACTTGAATGATACATAGTCGTGTTCATAATAGATATTTATCTCCTGTATTTGGAAGATTAATTTTCTTGACCACATGGGCACTTTATGAGCTCCACTCAAGTTCTACAGGTTCTGCCAAAGAACCTGAATGATTCCTGCTGTGTCTGCTGTTTGGTTACTTTCATATGAGTAATTGTGAACATTCTGATTTTCAGCTACTTTTTATCTTAAACTTTGGTTCTTCCGTTGTACCAGGTGAAAGTACCAACAGTGACACAGCTCTGGGCTGTATCAATGAGGCGGAGCTGTCCATGGGCCCATGGCAGACCTGTGAGGAAGACCCAGAGCTGAATACTCCCACAGATGTTGTGGCTGATGCGGATGCTCGTCATTGGTTACAACTGAGTCCCACTGATGCTTCGAATTTAACAGGTGAATTGCATTTTGGAAAAGAGGCAGTAGTGCAAACAGCTAGGAGATCAGTTGTGAATCCTTGGAGTCCTGTATACAGAGGGTTCTGAAACAGTTGTAGGAGGAAGTGTGCCATGCTCCTGACCACTGTCCACCGTAGGAGGAAGTGGTGGTATTCGTGTTAAGCCTTTATCCCTAAGTGAATTGTTCTACTCTAGAAAGAAGAGTGATTTTTCCAACTCATATATGTTGTAAATCCAGGATAAGTCAAGGAGTTTAGATAGCTTATTGATTAATTTTTTAAAATTTTTAAATAAAATATTTGGTACATAAAATGTAAGTTGTAACATATACAGTATGTAAGTTACAAGGGACAGTAATGAAGTGAACACGAGTGAGTCTGCTACCCAGCTTAAAAACTAGCATGGCACCCAAGCCAGTGAGGTCTCCCAGAGGTGTTTCTCAAGTCCCTCCCCTTCTCCCATTATTTTGGGACCCTAGCCCAAATTTGTTTTTATAATAATTTCCTTGATTTCTTTATAGTTTTACCATGCGTGTCAAGCAATATATCATTTAGTTTTGTTTCTAAACTTTAAAAATAATGACTTCATACTCTGTATTTTTTGCAACTTTTTAAATCTCAGATTGTTTGACTTCAGAGCCAAACTTTCTGGGTCGGCTTCCAGGCACTTCTGAGGAATTGCTGGGTGACCTTGAGCTAGTTATTTAATCTCTGTCCTTCTATTTCTTTGTCTTTAAATTTGGGATAATAACCCCTACTTTATAAAGGTTGTTGGAAGAATAAATGAGTGAACATCTAAGTCAGGTGCACAAAATAGTGTGGGTGGAGCAGTCTGCAGTTTTAGCTACATACACACACACACACAGTGTGACACTGGGTAAGTGAACCTCAAAGGCTAAGTTCCCTTACCTGTATGACCAGTCTGATGAGAACAGGGAGACCATGGAGGAGCTGGGTTTGGTTTTGCTTTGTTTGATGGAGTGTTAGGAGAGACTCGTGCTCTGAGGAATCAGTGCGGGAAAGGCTGACCAGAGCCAAGACTTTTCTAGCTGCACGTTCATGTTCACATATAGATACCGTGTATGAAAACAACCACCACAAAGTAACATGTTAAGTAAAGAGAGTTATTAAAATTCCAAAATATATTTTAAAATGATTAATATAAAGGCTAAAATTTTACCTTAAATGGATTTTTTTCAAACCAAGCAAACTAGTTTTCACTGTGTTGTAAAATTTAACCAACATCTCTGATATTTGGGAAATTCTTGATAGAATATCATTAAAACTTCATAAAAGTAACATACAAAGGTAGTATTCAATAAAATTCTTTATAGACTAATAATGACTAATAATACTATTCATTGATACGAGATTTAACATTTACAAAGAATTTTGAGGCATTCTCTTTGATTCTGTATGGGAAGCAGGCCAAGCTTATCATGTCTGTTTTAGAGATGGGGAAATTGAGACCCAGGGAAATTGTTATCAAGCTGGAGTGTGAGTTCCAGAGATGAAACTGACTTTCAAAGTGTTTTGACTCAACATGCAGTGCTGTGTCTACTCCTTTACACTGTGTTCCTGTTAAAATTAAAATTATTGTAAAGCCCTTTTACCTACTTGAGAATCCTTACAGATTATCCAAGAGAAACTCATCATCGTGATACCATAGGAGGCAAAACTGAAGCTTCAGTAGGTTGAATTTACTTAAACATGGACTAGTTTTAATTATTTTTATTGAAAGGGAAGAAAATTAGGTGATTACTTCTTTTGTCTGTTCTTTGGAAAGATTAGTTTTGATCCCATTTCAGGTTATGTATTGGACAGCTCAATTTAATAAACCTCTGTGAGGTAATGTTATATGATGTACTCCATGTTGTGATTAACTCCTCCAAATACTTAGTTCTTCTTTGAAATACTAATATAGAGAATCAGTACATGCAGTTCAATAGTTCACCTTGTCATCTGTGAAAAGGACAAACTGTAATGTGAGAAGGTTTAAGGATTATCACAATTCTGAATTTAACTTTCTGTTCTTAAGAGAACAATTTCTTCATAAATGTTCAAACTAAAACTCATATAAGCCTGATTTTTAGGACATTTTGAGAAACAATTTGAGTATATCTTTGTTTCATGTTGAATAATCCTACCAGTTATCAAATGCTTAGAATAATAAACTGCCTCCAAAATCTTAAATTCCTTCATCACTGGCAAACTAACAGTTTACTTTTATATTTGCTTTCTCACTTAAATTATGTTTCCTGAAAATAACAGCTAAATTTACTGTGCATTGTCTTAAAGTTTACCTGGGATTTGTTTTAATCATATGTGGTAAGACATACAGATATGGAGGTGATTGTCAAGGAGGAAGAATTTTCTACTCACAGATCCTGGAAACAGGGGCCATGCAGGGAAGTACCAGGAGGCAGAAGGAACAAAATGGGGCAACAGCCTTTAGTGTCATTTCTATGAAAATAGCAAGGCAAGGCAGGGTATACAGATTTAGGATTGCTAGTATGAATGACTTCAGTGGGCTCTGGAGCATACGGGCTATTTCTACTTGCCTGGTACCCACCCAGTCCTCGGATGACAGGGCAGAGGATGTTGACTTAGTATGTGAGAACTAGAGAAAGGAGGTAGTTGGAGGGTCTGAATTTTGAATTGGTAGGTTTGAATATGAAAGACCTGCTGCCTGGTGAATAGACTTCTATCTCTAGGAATTAGCTAACCCTGGAATTGGCAGTGCTTCCCTGATCAGTGAGGCCCTAATGCCAGAGCATTGAGAAAACAGAAAATAAGAAAATATAGTTAATACATACATACATTTAGTTCTGTTGAAATAGTCAGGGGAGGGGGACATTTATGAGTCTACAGCTAAGAATCAGTATTGTCATTTACCTCATCCCTTGTTTAACAAATAAGCTTATAGTCTAAAATACTGATTTAGATGCTATGAGAAATAAAAAGATGAATAGGTCATAAGCTACTATAGTTTTTAAGTGCTTACAAAAAGGACAGAAGACACAACATTTATCCTAATAGTCACAGATAATGTGATAAATTCTATGAAATTTACTTAAAGTTGTAATCATAGAGATAGACAAATAGATGGATGGAACAGAAGATAAAATACAGAACTGAGTGCACACAGACATGGAATCATGATATATGATATATGTGGCTTAGGGCTGACAAGGAAACAATGTATTGTTCAACAAATTTCTGTGGGACAGGTACTTAGCCATATGGAAAAAAGTGAAATAGAATTCCTACCTCATACTATGTCCAAAGTCAGTTTCAGAGGGATAAAATATATAAATGTGAAAAGGAAAATTGAAAAACTTGGAAGAAAAGATCTTTTTGAAAAGGGTCTATGATTTTTTTTTTTTTAAAAAGCTAACCATAAGAAAAGTGTCAGTAATTCAACCTCAGCAAAATGAAAACTCTATTACCAGATAAACTTCTAAGAATTCTGTGGTTTAGCAGAACCACAAAGGGAAAAAACCAGCTTTGTTTCTCTTTCCTTTCCATGTTCTTGTTAGCTAAGTGATAAGTTTTAAGGTAAGATTTGGTGAGAAATGTTATCCAGCATCTTGGTTTAGTTGGGAGATTCCACGGTCTTTCTCTACTGGAATGCAGACTCCAGGAAGGGGAGGCCTGTTATCTGCTGTCTGCACAGCTGATTCTTGCTTCCAGGAATAGTGCAGGACAGGAGAGAAGCATTCAATAAATACTTGAATCAGTGAACAAATACACTTTAAGCTGCAAGCTGTTGTTTTATATAGCTGAAAAGAGCAATTAAATTTTAATTTTTTAGAAATAATATATAAGACAATTTCAAAATCTCTTTTATTTAGTGTGTTTATCACAGTCTTGCATCCAAACATTACAGAAATCTTTTTACCACTTCTGCTTTTAGTTATAGCTGTGAAAATGAATTACATCTCCTGTTACCTGCCACTAAAATTGTTTTTCCAAGAATGCTTTGTCAGCATTCTCTGTCATCACTATATTTTTGGCATTTTCACCAGACTTTGATGTGTTTAGAAGTCATGAAATATTAGAAAGAAAAATAATAATGATAGCTACTGGGGCATTGGTAGCTCACCTTCTAAAATCTTTGCAGTGAACAGTGGACATCCTTGCAAAGGAGAGGAAGAAGGAGAGGAGAGCCAGGCTGCACTGGTGGGAATGGGATGCCACCTTGCTGCTTCTCCACTTGATCATTGACATCCAGGCCAGGCCTGAATTTTCTGGTGCTAGAATTAAGTTGTTTCACTCAGGCCTTTGAGTTTGTTTTTTGTGTTTAGATTTCAAATCAAAAGGAAAATTTGTTTTCAGAGACTGAGGCTACGTTTCTTTAACACTGTGCCAAGCTTATATAAAATCGTAGCCATATAAAATCACCATTCGGCCATAAATGCTTATTTTTCCTATTACCGAGACTTATTTCGTGGCTGAAATCCTTTCTATATTTGCAGAGTTCTAAACTTTTAGATCTCTTTGTAAAAATTATTTATGTGTTTGGAGAAAGACAATACGATTATGCTTGTAAGAGTTTTCACTTTAATAAAAAAATTTTAAGTTGTAGCATTAAGTAGTAATAAAACAAAAAGTAGGCTAGCATACTAGGTTGCTGATGAAAATAAAATAAACTAAATATTGGATATTTTTAGGGTGAACATGAAATTTTCTGAAGTCTCCCAAATCCCCATTTTTAATTAAGTGCTCCTTCGCTGAGGAACCCTCTACATGTAAAATGTCAGCATCTGTTCTCTCACTTATGCTACCAGCAGAATAATTTTGGGCAAAACATTTCAACTCATTAACATTTTTGTTCATAGTAATACTGAGGAAACTCATACAGGCATCTCAGAAACTCCTAAAGAAGTCAGCATACTTTGATAATTTTATGGAGGATGTTGCCTAGGATTTTATCATCGAAGCATGAGTTTTTCTGAGTGTAAAGCAGTATTTAAGCAGATTTGCTATGTGGGATTCT